CCTCTGAGTCAGCCCACCCTGGGAACGCCCCTGCCCCGCCCACCATACACAGCGCCCTTACACAGGTCCTGGTCTGCGCCCGTGCCGATCCCGTCCAACACAGAGAGGGCGGCGGCGACCGTCACAGCCAGCCGCAGCCGACGTCAGACGCCACTGCAATCGCCGTCCGTTCGCCTCATTGTGATGTCACTGCCTCGTCACCGGCCCCGCGGCGGCGCGACAGCGGAAACACGACCGCGTCGGGCGCCGCTCGAATCACGTTAGCCACTCGACAGCCAAGGCCCAGTCACGTCGCGGGCGCACACTCAACACTCGACTCACGGACTATCAACTGACGTGTTGGGACCGGTCACGGCGGGTCAGGACGGGGCAGAGTGCTGGCCCGGGGGGACAGAGGGTCCGGGCACGGGTTCCGCACACGGCTCGGCCGGACGACGGAAGTGGCGGCGGCAGCTGCGCACGGCTGACAGCCTTGATGGTCACGGAGACTGGTCGGTCACGCCCAGACGCCAGCAGCCGTGACATGACCGCGGGGTGGCCGGGAGGGGCCGGCGGATCAGGGCCGGCACAGGGGTAGGTACGGCCCATCGCTTCCGGTATCCGGTACAGGGGTAACTCGCGGACCGAGCTAAATACTGACTGACTCCTTCATGCATGAAGGACCGTCACAACACTGAACTTCATCGCCGTTAGGTCCCATTCTATGTTGGTTTATTCACAAAGGCAGAGATGGATAGTGAATAGGCTAGGGAGACTGCGTTCCAGGTATGCGTGCCATGTGGTCCGAATCAGAGAGGAGGGTCGCAGCCGGCAACAGCTGCGCCCCACATACAGCCGCGCCGCTCTGCGCTGCCGGACAAACGCGCTACCGAGGGGCCAGATTCATACAACGTCCCATTATTGTGTACAGCAGTTATAGCAGTTTTAGTCCTTTAGCTGTTCTCGGCAGTTTCAGATCGCAAGCACCAACTCAGAGAGTATTCTCTGCTCTCCTCTCCTATCCGCTGCTGCACCACGGTCAGACGGGACGGACGAGACGACTCTGTACCGAGAGGAAGGCCGCACCACGCTCCGATTGACGGACGGGTCTGCACTGAGAGGAAGGCCGCACCACCGATTGACAGGCGGGTCTGTACTGAGAGAGACAGGCTCACGGGCGGCACCACGCTCCGACGGACGGGAGGGGGGCTGTACCGAGAGGCGGGCCGCCGGAGGTCAGACCCATTAGTGGCCCGGCGGCCCGACCCAGCCAGGGAGCGGAGAGCTCAGGCGGCCCACATCCCACCCTCGTTGCCAGGGCATGCGTCATAAACGGCCAGATGGTCTGATGGCTTGATGCTGAATGACATCAACAACAAATATTGTTGAAATATCAGACAGTCAGACAGGATGTAAGTTACACGCCTGAGCCAATGAAAACAGCAACAAAAGCCACACAGTGCTTCCAGTGAAATCATGCGCCATAATAAACCCAACTACATAAGAAGGATCCAAGCCAATTTTTCAATAACTCTCCCGTAAAGCTAAGTGCAGCCAACCACAATCCTCCCTTGAGCATGAAACTTGGCCGTCGAAGAACAGACGGTCGGTGCTCTGCGGACAGACTCGGCGCGTCTCCGGGAGAGAAATAATGAAATAAAGCACTGAAAACAAGCAATGCATCAGCCGCCGACCGGCGAGCACGAAGCTCGAGCCCGCAATTAGCCGCAGCCGCCGCGAGTGGGCCGGCATGGCGGTAACCTGGTCAGTGGCCCGGTGGTGGCGGCACACTGGCACACTGGCGGTGTGGCGGACAGGGACGGTACCTACAAGGGTCACATGGGTGTCATGAGCTATTTCAGGGCTATAACAAGCATGTGAATACCTTGCCTTGTAGGCTTTATGGCCGCTAATACGGTGGGAAGAACGATACAATAGGTAGGAGACAAACTCTTGCGGGTAAAGTTTAAATTAACTCGAGTTGCTGAGAGCAGCCAGGGAAAATGAGTTTCAAATCAGGGCAACCCAGTGTGCTACATGTTCATTTCTGGCACATTTATCAGCTGTGTGAAACGTCCACCGAGGCATGTCATACGTTTCATAGCCGACTGTTTGCCTGCTCAGAGCTGGAACCGAATTCAGAGAGCATTTTTCACTCAAAGCTGAGCGACCGACGGCTGAGTCTCACGGGTTACCTACACAAACAGACCAGCACGAGGCTAACAGGTCCGTTATAGGTAATGTCCCAGTTGTAACAGCCGGACGTCATGATGTGACAATGACAACTGCATGTGATGGGGATAACATGCAAGCGCACAGGTAAGCACAACTAACACTGTAAACCGGCAGTCATTGCAACAAACAGATGCGGCTGTCCACCCGAGCTTTCATCCGACTGTCCCTTTTCCACGTTGTAAACAACACTGCGCTCCGTCACCACCTGTTCATTGATCAGAATTCTGCACGCGGTGACGGACAGACGATTCTAGTCTGCGCGCCGCTCAGCCCGTCCGCGCCCTCTCGGCACTCCTCCGCGTCCTCTCTGTGCCATCTCCGAGCCGCCGCGCACCTCGGCCGCTGCAGACCGCCCCAGCACCGCAGTCTGGCCTGCACAGCAGCGCAGCCATCTCGGAAGGCCGCCCGCGGAACCTCCAGAGAGGAGGACACGCACTGCTGCCCGGCCGGAACGCGCTGACATTGACCCGCGTGCAGCAGCACGCTCTCCGCAAGGTTAATAGCTGCTTAATGCTGCTTGATGCAGTAATGCAGACATGAAGGAGAAAGCAAAAGTTGGCGGAATTTCATTCCGCGCACCAACACAAAAATAACTAGACAATCGAAGGAAGGATAAACGTTCAGCGCTAGATCTGTGCCGAGTTCCGACAGCTAACACGGCTTTTGCAAGGCAGCTGTCAGCTGACAGCAAAGTCGGTGCAAGACAGCCGTAGCATTGTTCCCGGTAGGGCTGGTCTGGGCTCGTACTATGACAGGGGAGGGATGAACTGACTGTTCCAGGACAGAAAAGCACGCCTCCCAACCACCCAGCTGCGACAGCGTGGGCGTGTTGGATTCCTTTCTCTCCGCGAGAGTCCGAGAAAGGAGCCGAAATCATCCATTACAGACCGCCACGGAGGAGGTCTGTGGCTGCCCGGCCCGCCAGTCGCCACACACAATAGCCGGGGAAGAACGGCTGCCGATGGCTCAACAATAACCGACGAGCATTCTCCGTCTTCACTGGGTCGTGACGACGAAATCGGAACGACCTTGGCTCAGAGAGCAGCACGAATACCTACGCCGGCAGACTCGCGCAGCAAATACCGGCCGCACCACGTGAAAGTGCAAGTCAATGTGCACGCACTTTCCTCGTTTATCTAAGAGAGCATTAACGACCAATCTAAAGGACTTTTCACTCGTATGCGAGGTACTGGGACCCAAACACCATTGCTGCTCTATGGAACTTCTGTGATGAGTTAAATCCCTGGCATCAGGACACGACCATTTCCATTCTCACACTTCTGTTGTATTCTCACTTATTATTGTTCAACCATTGCTAAGCTAAACTCCTGTAAATCTAGATCAGGGATGCTGGGAAAGGCTAAAAAGCATCCACAGGCATCACTTCAACCAAAACACATAAGAAGAAACAAGAAATGACAATGAGCAGCTCCTGTTTAATAAAACCAGGTAGGCATCCTATGATAACAAAAGACCTGCCAACTTGAGAGGAATCATTGTTCAGACTGTTTCAGTAGCTGATTCAGGCCAAGGCCAGGCCAATGTTAAAATGATCCAGACCAACAAAATTTTTATCTTCTTCTTAAAATCTTCAGACCAACAATCATGATCAAATACCAACAGAAGGCAAAAACAATGGAGTTATCCAACAACACTAAGGTCTAAGGTTAGTTGTTGACTTCCTGACAATGTAATCATGTAACTAAAGGTATATCTAATCGACTAACAGCAGCACAATGTCATTACTTAAATAAGAAACAAAATGTGATTCTTGCATTTCAAAATATTCAATTTAATTTCAAATAAATTTGCCCTTGTTTACATAAGCATCTTAGGCTTATCCAGCTGCAAAAGTTATGCAACAGTATGCAACATGCAGAAGAGTTCTTCCTAAAAATGATACCAAGTCAGTGCTGTTGGCAAATGCATGTCTTGCCACATCAGCAGTCACTGCATTGAGATATGTTTTAAGGCACTTGGGGCTTTGACACTAAAATAAAAACTCCATCAAGGGTAAAAGGTAGTTAGGTAGGCCCCTAAAAACAGCATTGAGGTAAAAAGTACCATTCCTGAAAACAAATGCTATGAATGTATTAAGTACTTATCAGTTCTGACTCACACTCAGGTGTGCACCCTACGCATTTCCCTTCACTATCATATATTTTCTGAATCAGTATGTTATCAGATAAAGCTCATGTGAATTGCCATAAGCTAGTAGGATGAATGGAAGTGAACAATGAACATGGCACTAGACAGCTGTCTTGGAACATGATATTGTTGGTGATATGTGCTTATCCAAACAGGTCCTCAGCCAAGACACACATGATGCTTACATCAATGATGATGACTTGATGAAGGACCTATGTGAAACTCTCATCTGAAATATATAAACTGAAATTGAAATAAATGGCTAATGAAGTTCAAGATTGTAGGCAAACCATTGATGCCTAAAGCATCAGGATTACATGTAGGGAAAGCTTATCATTTTGAGTCTTTAACATTTGATTGAAAGATTAAACAGCATAGTCGAATTACTTAAAAAAACAAGCATAGTTGAATTACTTTAAAAACAGCTGTCACGCTGTGAAAATCGGCAAGATTCAGATAGAGATGGAGGCAGGGCAAAAGTCCGACATATCTCTGCAAACAAAAATGGTATAGCTTTTGTGGCCTCAAACTACCACATTCTCTAACTGGTCATGCTCCTAAAATCTGCTGGTGCCAATCAAGCACCTGATTTCTGAGAAATATCCTTATACCTGAAAAGAAACTGTCAGTGGACTGACCTGCTTGGATGATGACACAGGCCAGCATAAGCAGGGCTGTTTTGAAAGCACAAGCTGCATTTCCATGCCTCATTTCTTGAGTATGTTTCTTCTAGTTCACTACACAACACCGATCCAGGATAACTCTATTAACAATTATATATTATGATGAGGATGCCAATGCGGTGACATGACACCTTTTATGCTGATTCTGATTCCTCAGGCGTCTCAACCGTATGCCACAACACTCCACACCCTCCACACCAATCACAAATGCTATTCTTGCAATGATTCGGTAAAAGAATGTAAGAAACAAAATGAAATATATCAGAACACTTCCACCAACCACATCCAACAAAATCGCTCACAAAATCCACCGAGGAGCTCCGCTCACTGCAAACAAAGATATCTGCATTGATTCAAGGTTATGGCTAAATCCAGGAACTGATGTTTTGCGATGGCGGAAGCTTTTTATGCCTAATGACGTCATATAAATTTGAGAACTGTTATCCCTTTTTTAGCAGTTTTGCACCTGAACTTTGGCACTGCTTTAATTAGATTTGTAAAATAATAATAAATGAAAACAATCATTCGCTTTTTGTTTCAAACTCTAAATGCAAGTATTCGTTTATACGTCATATTGTGGTGATATTATACTAAGGCTGCCAAGTCGAGGAAAATTGCTTCCATATTAGAGGTATGCAAAACACGCGATTTCCCCCTACCCCGCTATAACCCAAGAGAGCTAAAGTTGAAAACTAATTCGAGATTTCCAATCTTTCGAAATGCAAGCGTAATCTGTCATTGCGATAGCTTACAGAATGGCCATATGCATAAAAATGTACGCCCACTTGCCATTTGTTGCATCCTGTATGCTTTTCCACGTCGTCCGGTCACATAGCCATTAGCCACTCGTCCGCAATAAAGCAGTCCGCCGCGACGGGCTTAGGAGAATGCTGTGCTCTGAGACGACATGGATGCGCGTCTCACTCAAGATCTTACTCTTACTCAGCTGCTGTCAAGGCGAGCAAGCGACCGAAGATGGTCTTCTCAGTGCCACGTCGCCGCCTGCAGCTGTACCAAATTTATCGGGTTCATTACAAATCGTCACAGAGATGCTCGGCATGCAGTAGGCGTCAGCTCTAGGTGTGCGAAAGTACCTGTTTAGAAGTTTAATAGATTAAAATACCTCTTACTATCAACATTTATAAGAAGGTATTGTTCGATAACTAACCAATTACCGATAGCCCGACGATATAAAAATACTGGCAAGAGCCCAACGAGTCTTGGTCCAAAGTCCAGATACATATGGATTGCGAAAATCCAGTTCTTCCCAAATACAGAAGAAACATCCCCACATTTTCGCAATTTACGAAAACGAATAATATTCACGACGATCATATCCCCAGGTCATCTTTCTCCTCGCCCACCCCACCCAGCGGCAGTAACAAACACCAGAGTACTGACTAGCCCCGATCGGCCGTATATTGTCATAACACCCAGCCCGTCTCTCCACGCAGCATGTCCACGGACTAGCTGTCGTCCTGCAGCGAGAACCGGCTGTAGCTGATGGCGGTGGCGCTCTGGGGACGGCGCGGGGACGGCCGCGCGCCGGGCCCGGAGCGGTTCCTCTTTTGCCAATTTTTGTCGCGCGGTCGGTCCTTGGTGGTCTTCCCGTCGCTGTCACGGAAGTTTCTCCGGTCACAGTCTATACCGACAATGACGCCGTCCTCGCAGCTGGAACAGATATCGGAGAGGAGGGTTAGTGGGGGGCTGAGGTAGCACATCAACGCATCATACGATAGCGATGGGTGGACTCGAAAATTCACAGTGAAAAGCAAAACCAGACATTCAACACTCAATACACACTTTGTCTGAGTCACACTTTGTCAATACACTTTGTCTGACTCTGAAGAATATATTTACAAGCGAATAATATGTTTGTTTCCAATATGTTTCCAAAATGTCGAAGAATATGTTACCAATTTCTACCCGCCAGTAGCTGCGTTCTCCCCGGCAGAATAACACACCTTTTGACGAGCACGTTGAGGGTGTCTCCTGGCTGGGGTCGCGCCGGGCCCACTGTCAGGTCATTGAGGCCGAGCCGTGCCGGCAGCTGCACCAGCCGCGGCGGCGCCGGCGGCTGCAGTAGCGCCGTCAGAAGGTACCCGGCGGCCGGAGCCGCCAGCACGCGGGCAGTGTACCGATGGCCAACCGTGACGCCGGACTGTGGAGCAGACAGAGAGATGACGGTGTGGTGACTGGTAAGCCGAGCGGATTACCTCAAAAATATTTTTAGGGGGGTGCGCTGGCGTATCAAAATGATATATATGATCAATGAAATAAATCATTCAGTCTGCCGGAAGAAGTAAAGAGGAAACTGCCGGGCAATGACATTTGGCAGGCTGGTAATGATAGAGCCCCCTAAGAAACTGACAATAAGTAATGAGACGTAGCACATTTCAATCCCCGTTAGCAACAGCTACAGTCTCGGGCCGGGTCAGGACGACCTGATAACCACGACCACTGCATTGCGCGAGTGACGGCCAACGGTAGCACAGTGGCACAGCTCGTCAAATATGCAGCGCTCGGATACAACTAATACAATCAGACAGCCACCGACCACGACTGCTGTGGCACGGGCAGACAGCGACGGGAGGCAGCAACAACGGCTAAATGTGGAGTCGGAACTAGTGACAAGTAAGAAAATGAATATAAGAGAAAATGTATACCTATGAGAGATAACCGTCTGAACATCTCATAAACGCTAAATGGAACAGAAAATTATTGTGGGTAAGGGAATATCTTCCGGTCTGGCTAACGGGACTATGTCTATTGGTTGACACTGAAAAGAGCCAGGGTCTTCAGCAAATGTATGTGGCTATAAATCATAGCACTGAACAAACATGAAACTGTGGTAGGTTGTGCAAAGGACCAGGGACGTAGCCAAGGGGGCACGGGGCCATGCCCCCCCCCCTCGAGAAATAGGCGAAAAATAAAACAAAATTGAATAAAAAATAAAAATAAATAAAACAGCTGCACCACACCCCCAAAAAGTGGGCAAAAACCGAGGACCATCCCGTTTTTTTTAGGGGGTACGACCTTAGGCCGCGACCTGTGGCCCCTCCCTGAGTAAAATCCTGGCTACGTGCCTGCGAAGAACGACCAGTAAAATATACAAGTTTGGTGTCCGAAAAAGAAAATAAACAGCACCAGACACTTGTAAGACTGGACGAACAATGGACAGGGTAAAGCTCCATACCAACCTAACTAAACTCGCATCAGGGCCCGCTACTGACCTGCACCGCCGCGGGCAGTATCCGCTCGCCGGCCGCCAGACTGAGGTGGCCCGCCGGGGTGACCTGCAGCACTGTGGCGCTGACCGTGTCACCGACCGCGCGCGCCTCTCCGCCGGGCAGCGCGCCCACCCGGCCGTCCGGCAGGCGCACCGTGACCCCGGCCGGGTCACAGGTCATCACCTGCCCGGTGACCGCGTCCCCGGCGGCCGGTGACGGTGGGACCAGCTCGGAGAGCTCGCGCAGACACCGGCGCAGGTACACCGAGCCGCCCTGTGGTAGACAGACGGAGACGTCAGTCGGGAGGCGATCAGGGCTGCTGTCGAGTCAAAAGTCTGAATCAGGCGAGCGCAATATATGGTAAGAACCTAGATCTCGCAGCCACAGGGCACGTGCTTCAATAGCATTTATGCCTCTTTTGACATTTGAACTTCCATTGTTGTTTGTTTTGTCAGTTTTCAGTTCTTAGTCACAACGATGAATAGTCACAATGCAGCTTAAATGGCAAGAGTCAGAGGCTGTCAATCATCTCCGAGTACGAAGGAGATTATCAATGTTACTTCGGACTTCACATCTGGCAGTCTGCCGAGCCGCGGGTCTCAGCCCGGCCTCACCTGTTCCTCCCGGTAGTTGATCCTGCCGGAGAGCCTGACGAAGGTGGACTCGCTGTCGGCAGGCGCCGGCATCACCTCCAGCATGATGGTGCGGTGTTCGAGGCCGGTCAGAGAGGACATGTCCGGCTGCCAGCCGTCACACAGGGCCTGGAGGCGATAACAAACAGCGCGCCAAACGGTCAGCAGACAGATCGTCCGACGGCCAGCAGACAGGGCGCCTAGCGCGGGTCAGAAGGCAGGAATCGTTACAGCTATCGAAAGGCAACATTGTAGCGACGCTAAGCTTCAGTCGGAACTCAGAAATCGGTAGGTACCAGCCGGGTACGGACGGTGTACAGACTGACGGATAAGTAGTAACCTGAAGCCTCAGGCGATAGGTGACAGTCGTGTACAGAGTAACGGAATAACCTTCAGCCATAGTCGGTAGGTACGGCTCTCGCGAGGTTAAGCGGTAGGTTTTGCACTTTTACATTTCCGGTTATATCACAGAAACTAATCGATCTACGATGAAGCCATTTTACACGATCATGGCCGGCTTGTTACCCAACAAGTCGATCGCATCTTCAACACTTAAAGGCTTAAGACGACGAAGGCATAGCCTGAAGTACACTTAATTTTCTAGGTGCAAAACCTGCCGCTAAAACCCGCGAGACGTGTACCCGCCGGGTACGGGGTTACACACTAACGGCCTGTAGCCTCAGTCGGTAGGTGCCGGCCGTGTACGGACTGACGGGTACGGACTGACGGTTCAGTACTAACCTGGAGTCTCAGCCGGTAGGTTCCCGCCGGGTACGGGCTGACGGTTCAGTACTGACCAGCTGAAGCCTCCGCCGGTAGGTCCCCGCCGGGTACGGGGTTACGCACTGACCTGCAGTCTCAGCCGGTAGGTGCCCGCCGGGTAGGGGCTCGGGAAGGCCACCACCACTCCTCGCTCGTCCGAGTGGATCACCGAGCCGGGTACACGCACACCGGCCACCACCTCCTCCGCGGAGCTCGGGTAACGCTGCAGGGCGCGGCGGAGAGACGGGGGCTCGTCAGACAGTGGCAGAGGAAGATCGCCAGCACAGGTGGAACACGGGTAATTAAAACAGTGACTCAAACACGAGCTGCGGTGACGATTCAGCCGTTCGGACTTTGATGGACGATGGTTGAATTAGGGCGTGAGAGTGTTGCTTGTCAGATAACAGTCTGGACCATGACGCGAAAAACTGGTGATGACACCCCAGTGCCTCCATAACCGAAAAGCATGAATTGACACTAGCAATAACATGTAATTGCTTCGTCTTGCATTGTGTATTTCTGACGGAATTTCAACAGGAGTCAGATGAAACTCGGACAGAGGCAGCTTACCTTGTTTTTAACATACTCCAAGAACAGAGGTTTGGCAGAGACGACAAGTTTCTTTCCCACGGCAACGAGGCCAACAACTTCGATCTCGTCGCCGGTTTTATACCTGAAAACACGAACAAACATTTTCTCATCAGACAAACAGACAAACAACTCGTTCAAAGTAGGTTTCAGTTCCTATCAGTCTTGTGAATTCCACAAAACCAAGCAAAACATCTACATCCTACACAGCACTGCAAAGTAGGCGAAGGGTTGCAGTCTGTGCTTGCGAGTTCCTTTTTAGGATTTAAATAATAAGTCCATCCAAGTCAGCGGCAAGACCGACATCTCGGACCAGACTCATTTTCCGTTCGATGACCTCCCTCCCCACCCCTCCCGTCCTCGGATCCACCCGTGCCCTCCCCACTGTCGCTCTCACCTGGTGAGTCGTGCCCTCCCCGCTATCGCTCTCACCTGGCGAGTTGCGCGGCGGCGTGCTCGGGCACATCGGTGAGGTGTCCTGCGGGCAGCTCGGCGCGCTGACCGTCCTCGGTGATCACCAGGAGCCGATCGGCCGCGCGTCCCGTCACCCGAGCGGTGCACACTCGGCCGCACCAGGGCTGCTGGCCGGCCTCGCGGACCGGGCACAGCGTCACCCGACGGTCACCGCCGCCATCTGCCGACGGCTGGCGCACCTTGTGTACCTAGGGTGGGACACAGGGAGGGGTCAGATGCAGCCGAGGGGGCAGTTAACTGACACATCGCTGAGGAAGGGGGACGACGAGATAAATTAGAACGTGAGGAAGGTTTTAATGCACTTAACACGAAAGACATACAATATACGTAAATGATATCAATTATGGAGATGTAGAAATAACAAATGAACGCCAAAGAGGAAGATCACAAGAATCATAAAATATCAGACGAAGATAATACGGATGGGGTGGCGTTGCAAAGCCAACACCCCGAGAAAAATATGATTTGATGATACATGATTGAAACACGAAAAAGGAGAATATGCAAAATCACTCAGCCGGATTGCATTGAAGCAACGTCGTAAAAATAGTGTACGGTCGAATCGACTAGCCAAAGCGCACCAATTGCGACTTATTCCCACATCATCGACCAGCCCCCCCCCCCCCCCCCTGCCCGCTACCGTATACGTGTAAGTACCCGGAGTGTCCTCCCAACACCAGCACTCACCGAACACTGTACAATCTGTCCGGGGAAGAAGTCGTCGAGCGCGGAGCCGGCGAACGCGGCCGGCACGAATCCGCTGAGATCCGAGTAGCCGGTCATGATCAGACCTCGCTCCAACACCTGGGACGCAGGTCACATTGGGTCACGACAGGTCAGCAGGGACGTCAAAACTCAGCCGTGGGAGACAGCTCACGGCGGGTCACAGCGGTGGGCCAGACGGGTCAGCGGGGAGGTCAACAGCCGTGGGAGACAGGTCAAGGCAGATGGGCCAGGGCAGCTGGGTGTGAGTTGGAGTTTGAAGCACGGATTTCAGCCGGTCAGCCAGGATAGCCGCGGCACGCGATCTCAGTGGGGGGGGGGGGGGGGGGAATGTACCGGCGCTGGAAGAGCTCGCTTATTAGCACCGAGACGCAAGCCATATTACGGTTTAAAATTTCAACAGAGCTGTAAAAGTTTCGTATTTTAATGAAAACTTCAGTAAGGCGGCCTGCGAGTTTACATGCAAAAATGCTAGAAATAACCCAAGCAAAGGTCGGGAGAATAGGTTGCAATAGCAATTCCGGTGTTTTTGCAGCCATCACGTCCCACGTTTACAGCAATTATTATGTGTAATTAATGTCCAGTTTTACGATGTAAATACGATGCTAGCACACCCCTTCCTGATTCTTCAGCGAACTTATCCTTAACACCGGTAATATTCACTCCAATTTTACTCGTAGTTTGCAGCTCACGTTCAATAGCTGAGCGGATGGCAGCATCATGTAAACACGGGATCCACACTAACCAAGGGCTTGATGCGAATGACACCACCGACCTCCTGGCTCTTACCCGACCTTGGCGGCCCCCCCCCCCCCCGCGTCCCACATCATCTCACCAGCTCCTCCCTGAATGCAACAGCGTACTGTGCAAGAAAAGCAACATACTGCAACATACAACATACATCACAACTACATATTCCAAAGTCCACGAAATGGGTGTTCCCTAAACTGGTAAGCCAAGTAGAATAAGCAGAGCCCAGTTCGGCCCTGTTCACCTTGGTGACGATCCAGTGGTGTGTGCTGCCCCGTTTGAGCTGGTCGGAGTCCGCCGCCAGGCCGATGCCCGTGTTGACCAGCCGAGCGTTATGGGTGAGGACCAGTCGGCGCCGCTCCGGGTCCGAGTGGATCACCTGGGCACAGGACCGGTCGATGGGTTATATTGGGTCCGCTCCGGGTCCGAGTGGATCACCTGGCCGCAACACATAGAACCGGTCATATGGGAACGCAAGACATCGAAAATGAGCAAAAAAAAAAAAATCAATAAATTGAACAAAGCGCTTTGAAGCACCGTCGAATAGGCCGAAACTCTGCACAGCTTAGCCGTACAAAGCTAAAAAAGCAAGATACATGCAAAAGAGATAATCAGAATATTTTCACCTTGATATCAAACAGTAAAAACCAATGCGGATCGACCATACACGCAACATAAACAGCATAAACTGCCATCAATTACCTTGCATTTGAGTTTCTTTCCCACTGGGAACATGGTCTGCAGGTTTTTGACGGGCACGTTTGTCAGGTGGTGGTTGGGTATGAAGCCAAACACTCCGCCGTCGAGCTCCACCTTGCAGCCCTGGTCCAGCAGCTCCTTCACGCGACACGTGACCTTGGCGCCCACCTCCAGACTGGGCGCCTGCTTCGGCGCGTCCTTGCCGCTGCGAGAGACGGGAAGGATAGTAAGGAGCGCGCTTCGATTCCTTACACCGGCGTACACACTGCATGAACGACTGTGTCCTGACGAAACAGCATGCGGTCCAAACGGCGTAAATTGGGAAGTGGTAAGACTAGGAATCGAAACACAAGAGTCAACGACTGGCTTCTTGTAGCAAACACATTTTGTGAAGACAGTGGCAAATAATAGCGAGTCCATTGAAATAAAGAAAGGCAATCGTCGAACCCCAACAAATCTCGAAGTTAGCCCATTTTTATACTATTAAGTAACTCAACGCAGTCACCCTCAAGAGTCGAGCACCGCACACACCCGTCCAATTATTCCTACTCACCCTTTCATGGAGGCGATGTACACCTCATCCATTGCATCATAGGCCAGCAGCGTACAGGAGGCCTTCTCCCCTCTCTGCCAGCGGCCGGCGCCCACCCGCCGCGCGTGCCACACGGGCGCGTACGCCACGGCACCTCCCTCATCGCCGTCACCCAGCACCATACGCACACCGTGCTGGTCCGAGTCGAGCACCTGGGCCGACAGCCGCTCCCCGGCCGATTCAGTCAGAAGGTCGGTGTCGGGTTCGGTGGCCGGTAGGCGACACACGGCCGGACGGAGGCTCAGGTAGACGCGCCGCAGCACGGGTAGGGTGTAGAGAATGCGAGCGTGCGCCGCCGCGCCGGGATTGTAGTCGTCCGGACAGTCCGCCGGCTCGTCCAGCTGGGTTTTGTAGATGAGTCCGGTGACGCCGAATGGAAGTCGCACCTGCAGTCCGCCCGGTAGCACCTGCAGGGTATGGAGGGTGGTGACGAGATCACAGTGAGAGGTGGACAAGTAAAGCCTGTATGGCGTAGAAGAAAGCCTGTACTGGACATCTCGATCAATATAATTGGCTAGAACTGACAAAACACAGGGCCAGGATGAAGTCAAGCCGCATCAGACCCAGACTCGAGATCTTAGTCAGCCTTACAAAATTGAAGTCCGAGTCTAATACGCCAAGGGCAAAAGACTAAAAAAAAAACGAAGCTTGATGTAAATCATTTATAGTGCTGATGGCCTCTATCCTAGCGCCGGTCCCCCAGGTTTATATCTATTACATCCACCTCATACTCAGGTCTAGCCCATGCAACCCTATCCACCCCGGCCACCGTCGTCGCTCGCACCTTGGCCACGGTGATGGGCAGCCTCATGCCGGGCAGCAGCGTCTGCCTCGTGAGGCCGCACTCGGCGCTGGGCTCAGCTCCGTTCAGCCGCGCCGGGTCGGCAGACAGGGTGAGCGTGTGGAGCCCGTCCCCCGCGCGGACGGAGTCCACCAGACACCAGAGCACCTGGCCGGCCACTGGCGGTGGCGCGGCACGAGAGAGGTCAGATGTGGCATGCAGACAGACGCTTATGTGTAGTAGTTCCAGTGGTAGCCCCACCCCTTCCCCTAGGAATACATCTCACACGTTACACTGCCAAAAAGACCCCACTTACAAGTAGCAGCGTCCAACCTACATGATGTATCTATCGAAATCACATCTCCATAAGCACTAGGCACTCTCTACATTACGCGACGATTGCCGTTTCTCACCGAGCGCGGGCGGGTCGGTGCCAAGGGCCGACTTGGGCAGGACGGCGCGGGTGCCGGCGATGCCGCAGTCGATGTCGAACACATTGTCCTCCTCGCTCTTCACCGAACACTGCAGCATCTGCCCTCAAAGAGTCCGGGGGAAAGCGGAGCGTTAATTTGCGCGGTGTTTTTATTAGGAGTGGGTGTCATGATCATTACCGAGATTGGTTGTAATGATTATCGAAGGTTTGTGAGACCAAAAGCGATAGCGTACACCTTAAACATATAATAACTACCATACATTTGGATATGCGACACAGATGGCCTGAGCACATGACTGTCCACTTCCATAAAATACGAATATATTCACGAAGAGTCCCGAAAAAAACTCATAAATACTGCTAATCAAAGGACATTGCACTAAAAACATCACAATTAAATCTAAAATCGCATCCCCAGCAAATAAGTCCCCTCCCCCCGCGCCCCACTGCACCGCCACTCACCAGTCCGGGGCCGAGCGCCGAGGCCGGCAGGCTGCTGTTGACGTCCTCCGGCCTCACGGAGAGCGTGTTGCGCACCTTGTGGCCGGACTGGTCCACCTTGGTCACCATGCAGCTGACGTACTGGCCGGTCGTGAAGAGGTCCGACAGCGCCGGCGCCGACTGGGGACGACGGGGTACCGATACACGTCACCAACTGGACTGTAGAGACTGGGAACTAGACGACAATCTGTTCACCGTTAGATCTGGCAGTGCAATTTTGAAATGAAGACTTGCGATGGAGAAGGAAATTTGGCGACACGACCGAAATATTACGCGCTTATGAGCATAAAAATGCGGAACATCAATTGAAAAGCGGAACCCCGACCCCAATAGAGCAGAGTGCATCCTCCCATCTGAGTCTGGCTCACCTCGCCGTCCTGCTGGCTGCCGACGAGCCTGCTGTACGTGCTGGAGATGTTGGTGATCGGCACCGAGCCCACCAGGTGGCAGGGCAGGCTGACCAGCAGGTGGAACTCCTCCACCTGCTTCACCCGCCCGAGCAGCACCATTTGTGCCTCCAGGTCCTGGGAAATGGTCACAGGTGAATGGTGGTGAACCAACCACATATGCGCCAGATGAACACCACTGATTTGTGGTTTTATGTATACTTCCTGATTCAAACCATACAGTAACACACCAACTAAGTGTTACCACTTCAATGTGGATGCAAGTACTGAAAATCAGCAAACTAGTGAGTGTCATTTGAAATCAGCAGTATAATGAAGTGAATGCATATTGCATTATGTTAAATTAGTTAGGTACTTAGTGATTAAAAACATGACAAATAGTGAGTGTTCCAAAAATGATCACATCTCTACAAAAAAACAACATCAGAATGATTTAACTCCAAACAAACTAAGAGACTGCCACACACCAGAACCATTTGACAACACAATATAGAAGGAAATGAGGCTCACATCTTGCTTCAGAGGCTCCACATGGGTGAAATCATCTTCAGCTGTTCCATTTGTCTTTTTGGCTTCTCCTTTTAATTTCTTTTGCTTCACCTTCTGCTTCTTTGCTTTCTTCTTTGGCTGATCCTGAGCCAAAAATTGAAATGGATTATTAGTTGGAAGGATAGGATTAGCTACCATCCACATGATTCACTTCCAATCACAGTTGTTCAATAGGGAGAAGGGAGATTGGCAATCCATTACTTGGTTGGAATAAGAAATAAATGATTGTGTCCAGATCTGCATTTGCAGGAGCAAAAGCAATTATGAGAATTGAAAAGGCTGAAAAATACAGTCTGCAATATACAAGTTCTCTTAAATAATGTCTGTATCATCTGCAATATACAACATGAGGATCACTTAATTTGGGCTAAATCATGTCAAGATAGCACCATGTACACAAATTAAACTATAGCTGTCTATGACAAATCCACTTTCTCCTGCAATTCAAATTTAAAAGCAAAACTATTTCTTATATGGGTATAGCAATGCCTGGACAAGCTGGAATAACAAGGTCTGGAAAAGCAATCAAGCTCATCTCATTAGGTACCAGTTTTGTCTAAAATAGTTCCTACCTATATCACACAGCCATTCACATGGCACTGGCAGCAAGGTATCTATTAAAAAGGATATTCCTAAGAGCAGTGAATATCTCATAGAAGGAAAACTAGGCATGACTGTAACATGTAGGTATTTCATAAAGATGAAAAAGTAGCTACACTTAAATGAAGTTGGTATATGTTCAACCTACATCAAACAGCTTCTCTTCATCTTGCTTATCTTCAGCATCAGTGGCCTTCCTCTTAATCTTGCCACCACGTGGAAAATACTGCTCCGACATGATCCTGAAATAGTTTTAACAAGGTGAAGTGTTATGTTTGTGCTACCAGTAGTCTGATTTGGGCTTAAAGGCACGCCGGTAAATATTTACATAAGGTCCGATTGACTGTTCAAGCATAAATTTTGCATATTCTAACATTATTTGACATTCTGAATCCAGATATCATACTTACGTGCGGCGGAAAAATAAAAAAACACAAAAATAACAACCTGTTACACCCCTTGGCTTCATAACACGATACATCCACGTGCACGCACCGACGACGCGAATGAATGCGACGAGATAAAAACGCCGCCGTTTCAGCGCTGCCATATGAAGTTTTTTTGCTGCCATTTTCGGGGAAATGTTGTGAACCGGGGTTTATGGGTGGGAAGGGAATCAAATACGATAATCAATGAAAATGACGTCAAAATAACAAAACACGAAAAAAAAGGTAAAAATCATAAACTAACCTAACCTAACCTAACCTAACCTAACCTACTGATTTTTGCCTACCGGGGATAAGGAAAAAGTTACTTGCAGGAATAGATTGCAGGCAAGAGTAAATCAAATATTTTTAGGTTAAGTGGTTATGTATCTGGCTTCAGGCCGATGCAGGCAAGAGTAAATCAAATATTTTTAGGTTAAGTGGTCATGCATCAGGCTTCAGGCCTTCGGCCTGAAGCCAGATACATAACCACTTAACCTAAAAATATTTGATTTACTCTTGCCTGTAATCTCTCCTAAGGCATCGCCTTCGGCACTGCACTGCTCCGCCACGAGTATTATTATGACGTCACTTTCATAGCAAAATTGAGTAGCGTAATGTTTTAACTCAACCTATGAGTTTATTCATTCGATCCTTTCCACGTGGCGCAAATGGCTGGTGGAGTGCGGTAGTGGCCGGTGGTGACGGTAAATATTTTACAGGTGCTTTAAAACTTGGTTGCGCCATGAATAACTATCAGATATGAAATCAGGAGGCCAAAATACATCGTGTGGTATGTTTGTTATAATCACTTTGGCGATCGGACCTTATGTATATAAATACCGGCACGCCAACTAAAAGGTCATCTTGCGCACATTGCTACCAGTAGTCATTAAGCAGACAACACATTGTCATGTACCCACAAGCCCAAAGTCAGCGTGATGGCTTTGGTTCAAAGACAGAAATCTCAAGGTAGCTGTAGAGGTGACGGTATCGGTACAGCTGGCGTCACCGTCGGCACCTGCGGTAGGTAGATAGTAGATACTAGGTAGGTTAGGTTGTAGGCTGGTAGGTTGCAGGTTGTAGGTTAGTAGGCTGTAGGTTGGTAGGTTGTAACTTGTAGGTTGTAGGTTAGTAGGCTGTAGGTTGGTAGGTTGTAACTTGTAGGTTGGTAGGTTGTAGGTTGGTAGGTTGGTAGGTTGTAGGTTGGTAGGTTGTAGGTTGGTAGGTTGTAGGTTGGTAGGTTGTAGGTTGGTAGGTTGTAGGTTGGTAGGTTGTAGGTTGGTAGGTTGTAAGTTGATAGGTTGTAGGTTGGTAGGTTGTAGGTTGGTAGGTTGTAGGTTGGTAGGTTGTAGGTTGGTAGGTTGTAGGTTGGTAAGTCGTAGGTTGTAGGTTTGTAAGTTGGTAGGCTGTAGGTTAGTAGGTAAGGATAGGTCAGGTTAGATTATGTTTTTTACTCTAACTTCATCCACACATAGATATGCTGGTTAGCCGCGACGGTGACGCCAGCTTGAGCTTTACCGATACCGAGAGGTAACTAACTACCTATACTATATAAAATGTGAAACGGTAACGGTTCATGTAACATGGCAAAGGTAAAAACTTGGTAAAAGCTTACAGGGGAACGTGCAGATAAACTGAAACTTAAATCTCTAAAAATATGAAAGGTTGTTTTTGTTGTTGTTGTGGGTTAGGGCGCGTAGCAACTTGGCTCTTGCGTCCAACTTCTTTTGATGACAGTCTTTCTTCTTCTTCTCTTCTTCTTTGTGGGTAAAGGGAACTAAGCAGGGTGACTAAGCAGGGTTACGGATTTAGGATAGGTATCAGTATAGCCGTGGTGTGGACTTGCTTTGGGAGGATGTAGCGATGAAGATTTCTGCAGATGACAGAAACGGTTGGAAATACCGAAATACCGTGAAATATAGAATACCGTGCTGAAATATGAAAGGAATTGGCACACAAATAACTGAATTGATGCAAATTACGTATATCTCTACGCAAATTACACAGTCACACACCAACCGGGCAACCGCACGTGGCAGCACAAGGCCGCACTAGACAACAAATCTAAGTTGTGACTTTAAAGTCTTTCAATGACGTAGTAACTAAACTTAATGTGCTTGTTCTTTTTATCAGAAAAAGACGACTTGGTATTTTTTTAATCAACTATTTAAAGGCACGGTGACTATATTTAAAGGTTGAATTAGAGTATTTAAATCAAAAACTATCACAAAATTTCTGTTAATATTAGTTATGCGTCATCAAAACGATAAATTTTATCTGCGTCACTTTTGTAAACAAAGCGTCATAAAAGCATTGTTCACATTGCTAGCATTTTGGGGGAAATAATGAGGAATATTCGCCAAGATAGCTAGGCATAATGAAAAAATACTTATCACACATTGATATTATTTTTGTTATTTCACCAGTTAATCCTTTTTCGTCTTTTATATGTACCAAGAATCCTATAGATTTGGTATAGATATTTATTAGGTATATCATTAGGTATATCCTATAGGAATTAGCCATCATGGGCGTCGGGCGATCCACTCGGCGTGGCGATTTTCTTTTCAATTTTTTTTTCTATCCTTCTCAAGCTATAAAAAGATCGTATCTGCACGAAAATAAAAATACATGCTTAAAGGAAGATATGCAAACAACTTTGTTATTCATGATTCATCCAATATCCATCAACGGTTATGGCCTTTTGGCGAGGAAAGATCTAATTGGCTCCGTCAATATTGGCTTAAAATAGTGATATATGCCTCAACTGAGCGTATCTTGGCCTAAAGTTTAGCAAATGATGGAGCCGACATGAACAGCGCTTAGTTTTGTGTTTTTGGATGCAAGAAGGAAGATATGGGGCGGAGGTGTTTGAGGTCAAATTCAAAGTTATTGTTGAACTTGCTTGAAGAAAACAGTTTTTTTAAGGCTCGTTAGCTTATTTAAAAAATGGCTGCTGCCTGCCCCACCATCAAAGTTGTGATGGTCGGTAAAGCATTTGCGGGCAAGACATGCTTGTGTACAAGGTATCTCCATAAAAGTTTTCCAACATCAAATTCAAATGTAAGTGCGTGAAATAGACCCTTAATCCCATATACCTGATTTTCTCAGCTCATATAAAATGCTGATAAAATGAAAGTTTATCCAATAAATCTTATTATAATGCTAGATGTATGAATTATCCCTTGAATAGGAAAGAACCTTGTGCAGAGGATCTGGCTCCGTGAATCATTTCTCGCATTGCTTCAGTTTTGCAGCTAAGTGAAGGTAATCTTGTTTGCTGGCTTTCATTTATTTCAGACTGTTGGTGCTGCTTATGGCGCAGAATATAGGTTCTACAAAAATGACAAGATAAAATTTGAAATATGGGACACTGCTGGCTCAGAAAGGTAAGTGTGATCTACTAAGTTTGATCAGTTTCAGTACAAAATCAGTACTTATGTGTTTTTAGTACTGATTTGGCACTCTTTTTTTTTGGTAAAAAAATATATACCTTTTTGTCCAATCATCCTGATTTCTTTTCATCTACTCATCATCATTCTTCACATCCTTTTTGTCATATCATTTTTGTGCATTCACATTAAGTCACTTAATATTTATGTCCACCAAAGGGGTACCAGATGCCTCATAAGTCATAACTTGAACGGACCTCTGATCTGACTATTTACAGGATGCTATCAACCCTTCATCACCAATCCAATAATGAAGTTGTACAGTTGCATGTCCTGCCAACCATTTATTTGGCATGCTGACAATTGGGCGGGGTACTACCAAACAGGGTCCATTTCATACTTGAGTCAACGTTTACAGTTCACCGAACTGGTCAACACTGACATCAGGTCAGTGTCCCAAAACTTGTAGTTGTGGGTGGGAAGGGAAATGACATCCAAATGAAAATCATTTTCCACTCTCACCTCCAGTTTTCAAGCCCAATTTTCCACTCCCAATTCCACCGAGAAGGAGCAATTACGTTAATGGTTGTTTTGCATCTGTCACAATTGTAGATAGATTAATGTTTTTGATCATTTTCCCACTCTTTTTGGGCCTTACCTGACTGACAATTTTTCACTCTCATCCTTTTTTTGGTCAGCAATTTTCCCCTCTGACACCCAAGCAAAAATATGATTTTGGGACACTGCATCAGGTTATGTTTTTCTCGTGTTTTGGAGGTGACCGAATCACTCGAATATAGTCTCAGTGAGGCGATATATCCCTACACTTACCTTTTTCTTCGTCCGCTCACCGATTTCTGCTCCGCCCGCCAGGTATGAGAGCTGGCTGCCGCTGTATATGCGCGAGTCCACGGCGGCTGTGGTCTGCTACGATCTCACCAACGCCGAACACTGGGAGAAGGCCAAAAAATACGTCGACGAGATCAAACTGCGCGTCGAGGTGGGTTGCGTTCCACTCATCCAATAATTCTGGTGCCATTCTCATCGCTCGTGAATTGCTTCAGACGCACATTATCGTTGCGTATGTGTCCCGTTTGTTTTAGTGTTATTTGATTTCAATGTGTCAAATGCATGAATGTTTAATATCGTCTTCAAACTGGTTTCCTACGTAAGGCTATTCAGTCCGTCACGTCTTACTTTTTCAATTTTTTTTTTACGCAGTGCATCAAAAAGGCAAAGCCAAAGTGCAAGTCGTCTCGTCAGCATGTTTCTGACATACGTACTGGGTGTCGTGACTGACTGACTGGACCGTGGCTGAATGAGTTGCCGCATTCTGTCGCCAGGGCTGCCGGATATACCTGGTAGGCACCAAGCTGGACGTGATCCAGAAACAGGGCCGCACGGCGCGCCAGGTGGACTTCCACGACGCGGTCGACTACGCCGACTCTGTGCGGGCCGTCTGTGTGCTGGAGACGTCCTCACTCACAGGATACAACGTCGGTCAGTACCACACATCATGCGCTGTGTGCTGGAGACGTCCTCGCTCACAGGATATAACGTCGGTCAGTACCACACTTCACTGAGCGAGACACTACCTATGTGCTGGAGACGTCCTCTCTTACAGGATAATAACGTCGGTCAGTGCCACACATCACAGAATGATACACTGTGTACTTATGAAGACGTCCTCGCTCACGGAATATAACGGCGATTAGTGCCATTCATCTTGTAGAGAATCAGTCTTGAGTGCGAGAGACGTTGAACTCACGCTGGAATTTTTCATTACGAATACTATAGGTAAACCCCACCAGGGCCCGTATTCACGTCGGAATTTTTCGTAAGATTTATCTTACGATCGCTCTTTGTCGTACGATAGTTTGGTATTCACGTTGGCATCGCAAACAGTTAAGATTTATCTTACGATCAAAATTTTGTTCGTAGACATTTGTCGTACGATCGATCGTAAGTGCGATTCACGTCGGGACATCTTACGTCGAATCTTAAGATGATCGTAAGATCTTAATGATGAAGGTATTGGGAAGATACGACTACTCACTGAGCTGTCGTAAGACGTCACCTATGCTTATGAATTGTATATTTAGGTATTGAAATTGTTGTTTATGATTTTTTTGTTCTTGCGAGCGAGCGCGAAAAAGAGTTTTCAATGTAATGGGAAAATATCAGTATGAGCGGTACAGCTCGGAACAGACTACAACGCTTATATAGCGTACAGCCTATAAGCCTATAAGCGTACAGCCTATAACGCTTTTGAGAAGCTTTTATCTCGGCCACCGCTGGGCCGACTGAACCGCGGTCTTTTTTGTTTGGTAGCCCCATCCCTCCTACCTCGTAATTGACTACTCTTGATGCACCTGGGTGATCGCCGTGTCATGTGGCTCTTGCAAAGCCAAGGGTGTCAACTCAGAACCCAAAGTCGTTCTGCTGAATTCACGTTTTTGAGAGGATTATGTCTGAGTAAGCACAGGATCGATTTACTAGGAAATATGTTTGTAGGGTATATTCATCCATTCTGCCAAGGACACGACTTTTCTCGATGCATGTGGGTGACCATGGCTGCACGTGCCACGTGCATAATAAGGAGATGTCATGTTTGTAGCAATTACAATAACTATGTAATTATCGTGCCCATTGCGCTGAAACTTAGCATGTGGGTAGGCACTCATCGGGCAATGCATTTCTATGTGTCACGTTAGGGGTACTACTGCACGTGCGCACGTGCAGTGGTCGCTCCTAGATCTCGGGAACGGCTGGACCAATTGCGCTCAAAATTGGCACATCGGTAGGGACCGCTTAGTAGCGTGCCGGGCAAAAGTCGTTTGGGACCCCTTTGCACGTGCGCACGTGCAGGAGGCCGCTTCCATATATAGAGAACGGCGAGGCCGATTGCGCCCAAATTTGGTACACCTTTAGGAACCGCTTAAGAGGGTGCCGAGCAAATGTCATTTGTGACTCCGGTAACCGGTTGCACGTGCGCGCGCGCAGCAGGCCGCTTCCGGATCTCGAGGACGGCTAGGCCGATTGCGCTTAAATTTGGTACGCCTTTAGGAATCGCTCAGGAGGTTGTCGAGCAAAAGTCAATTGTGACCCTGTTCGCACTTCGCACGTGCGAACACGCAAGAGGCCGCTTCCGGATCTCGAGAACGGCTGGGCCGATTGCGCTTAAATTTGGTACACCTTTAGGAATCGCTTAGGAGGGTGCCGAGTGAAAATGGTGAAAATAATTCTGAAAAATTAGCCGGCTGTGAGAAACAGCACAGATGAAAGGGGGCCAAAAGATATGTTGGCCCCCTTTCAGAGCCAAAGGGGGGCCATATGGCCCCCCTGGATCCGCCCTTGAATCCAAAGTGCTGCAACTTTGAAATTAAATATCTCTGAGTTAAAACTTTTCTCGATGTTGTGAGTGCCCAGACCGGTAAGTGCAGGCCAGGGACCCCATTTTGGCAATCTCAACTCAAAACTAATGTTAACCCTCGCCCGTATTAACCCGCGCCCTGCTGGGGGGGTGTTTGAACACCCCCCCTTGTGGTTTTTCGCGAATATCTCAAAAACGGCGGCGCGGAGCGCCGCCGTTTTTGGTACACCTTATCACACATCAATTCTACACATGTTGTGAAAATTTCAGACCAAGGTCATTCAAGGTCAGGTCACCAGGTCACTTGAAGTGACCTCACCTCATAAAAAGTTTCAATGTCTGTCATAGCTACACCGAGTGACCGATTGCTTTGAAACTTTCAGCGATTGCTAAGAGCAATAGCATGTACAAAATGTATATCTCAGAATTTTGATATCGATGACCTAAGGTCAGGTCAATTTTGCGACCTCCCCAATATAAGTCAATGGGAGAAAATTGAAATGCGCCGCTTTTGGACAAAAGACATTATAAACACTCCCAAACACCGAATTACAAGTGGTTTAGACACACTGAACATGAAAATGGTGTCCATGACCCTTGTTTATGCCCTGAGGTCATCTTAGGTCACGAATGGTATCTAACAGTTTTTCGCAAATAACTTTTGATAGAGGCATGCTAGAGCGATGAAAACGACTTAGATGTGTTCAGCTCGACGATACGGATCGACTGATATGCAACATGACCCTTTCCGGTCAGGTCATGACCTTGACCTGAGGTCAAATTTTCAAGTTGACCTTTCAAGGTCAACTTATAGTTCATTCGATGCGTCTTGACGAGAGGAACACAATGCCGGTAAAAGTAAGCTCGTACAAGGCTTGGGTCAAAAGTTATTGCAGAAAAACTGTTTCCGAAAAAATCGGCTATTTTTGCAATTTTTGCCCCCTGCAGGCAAAACCGTTGACGTTAGGTCAAATCTGAGAGAATTACTCAGAAAGGGCTTTAATAGGGCTATCGAATGCGCTTTTCCGCGGCGCTGTAGCTCTATTGGTTCTCGAGTTATGCGTTGGCTTCTTGGAAATTTTCGACATTCGACCTGGAAATCGGCGACATTTTGCCTTCAATGACCTCTGGTGACCTGACCTTTGACCTGACCAAAAAATTGACCGAAGTGATTTCGTCATTATTTTTGACGCTCTTTCGAACGCCGCCCTCCGCGTATCGCTACGTGGCCCAGGAGCCGAGTTACAAGGGGGGGGGGGTGTTCAAACACCCCCCCCCCCAGCAGGGCGTGGAAATCCAGGACCCCCAGCCGGGCGCGGGTTAAGTTTTGCCAGCCGCGAACGTATAAGAGGGGTCCGTTGGACCACCCCCTTTGCCGTTTCGCCCCTGATCGAGCTAGAGCTTCGCGGAAAAAACGAGCGTGTTGCCCGTGACGAGAGGAAGCCGATGATACCCAATTTTAAGGTCCTAGGTCATTGGTTGACCTTGCAGGTCATGTCAATGACCCAAAAGTCGGGAAAATCGGGACCTGTTAGAACTAGTGGTGTCAATCGGAACTTGAATCTTCGGAATTCCGATTTTTTCCAATGTCCAATTCGGAATTCGGTTGGACAATGGCAGCAGGCTTTGGACAACTTTGGACAATCGCTTGCTACACCTCAACATTTTTAAAAAAGTAGTCGTGTTTAACATTGATTGGCTATTAGAAAGCTCAGCTTTCGATATGATTAACACTTTTGAGCTTGTAACGGTACATGAAAAGCAAATTAAATAACAGTGTTGAGTGTAAACTATTGCGTAGGTGTCGGACATCTTTGGACAAATGGCTGGCTTGGACATTTTTGGACGGACAATCGACGTAAGCATTGGACATTGGACGGACTTTGGACATACTTTTTCTGAAATTGACACCACTAGTTAGAACGTCGTAAAGTGTGGCTGCTATGAGGGTTTTCAGGGTGCTGATCACGAATGTCTTGTTAGTTTTGATCACAGATGATGTCTTTAAGCATTTAGACCAGGTCGGGTCAGGTCAGGTCAACCGGTAGGGGTCGTGACGGGTATTAGTAGTACCTGTCATCCGCCTCTGACAGCTTCGTAACATATTACGAAGGCACCAAAACTACTTCGTATATGTTCACATAGCTGCTAAATTCGAATTCAGCTCCAAAAACTAGCCTAGAGATATGTAAAACTCGAACAAGTGAACCGAGGTCACCAAAGGTCAATGACCTGACCTGACCTTCAGGTGACCTTAACACCCACCCTAATGCATGGGAGCAACATCAAATCACATGTTTGAACGTTTGAAACCACGAAAAGCTTGCAAACGCGCGGCTAATGCGAGCCGACATACGCCGAATCGCGGTTCTGGCCAAACATGGTCTCGGAAAAGAAGTCACAGGTCAAAGGTCATTTGGGTCAGGGTCATGAAATTTTCAGGGTAGGTGTAAAATTGATCAATGCGGGGGTACTGAAAGTTTCGTCGCGATCCGCCGCTTTTTACGCGAGTTAACCGCGAAAAACCTTAGGGGGGTTGCATCAACCTCCCCCCTGTGCCGGCGAGGGTTAAAATGCATGTTTTATCGATTTATTCTCCATATGATGATTTGTAATATAATAATATAGTTTCCATAATACCTAATGGTAAAATAATATCCATAATAACTTTAAAGCATACTAAATCTGGGGTACTTTTATAATGTTAAGAATAGCTCACTGTTTGAATCTATTTCGTTTGCTGTATCATTTGACGGAGGATCCATTTTCTATGTCGTCCCGGAATATGCTGCTAAAAATCAAATCTTCGGAACTGCTACGACATCTTAAGTTGGGTCGTAGGATAAATCCTAGGACTTTTGACATGAATACCAAATTATCTTAAGATTGTCAACGTGAATTAGAAGTATCCTAAATATCCAGACTGATCGTACGATAAAAAGTTAAGATGGTCAACATGAATACCAAATCGATCGTACGATGAAAACTGATCGGAAGATGTCGACGTGAATACGGGCCCAGAATTCAAACTTTTGAGGTTTCTTTTATATTTTCTGGTAAGTTGCTTATGCATGCAGCTTATAGCATGTTTTTATTTGGCAAATTTTCCCCGTTTAGTTCATAAAGAATATCGCATCTCGCAGCCCACCTACATCGCCTCTGCTCTATATAACCTCGATTCGCCTCGCTTACCTCGGTCTCGCCAAATATAGCATGCCATTCGACCCAAGTGCCTCTTTTAGCTCAGTTAAATTACGCCCTTAGTTCCGTTTGTTTTCCTTGACCTTCAGTTGTCGGCTGCGTAAGGACAGCTGTCGCCAATCTGTATTATTTACACGCCGAATCAAAGTAACAGCGAGACTCCGAGCACAATTTCAGTTTGTTTGAACGGTGGTCTAGGCTGCTGTACGTTACTCAAAGTGACCGAACGATCATGTGTCGTCACGGCACGACACTGACCTGGTTTACCGTAGTTATTTGTGGCAGTAACCCAGACACATGGCGATCTATCGTAAACATTGTGTCCGGCGACCTCCGTGGTTACGTGTAGCGTATGGCTTTTATCAAGGGCTGTCTTTGAGGGAATTTCGATAGCCACTGTTGTGTGGCGGCGCGATAACCGTTATGTAAGGACTTTCGGCCAGCGTAGCAATGACAAAGCTGTGCTTCGCGTGTCATCGTTTTACAGGAACAAAACGATGCTTTCTCGCATTTTTCTTCTAACAAATAAGGGCATGAAATCTGAAGCAGCGATATAATTGTGTTGTGTCATTGGTTGCGTAATCAGTAAATACGGATACACAGCACAGTAGCGACAGGTTCCAAGTACAGCTTATTGCTTCAACTCAAATAGCGGAGTCATGCATCGCTATCATCTTTCCTTACATACAATTCATTCTCCTCCATACCCGAACTCATGCTGGGCTACTTATCTAACCCACCTCACGTCCGTTTGTCCGCAGTGGAGGTGTTTGACCGCATCTTTAACGACTGCGCGGCCGACGTGGTGCGCCAGTTTCGCGAGAGCCGCGCCGCCGGCGGAGGTCAGTCGGTGAGACTGGGCGCGGGCGCGCACCGCGGCCGATGCTGTCCCTGACCGGTGGGTATCGAGGGCCGAGCGGCCACACCATCGTCAGACGTCAGTGCCCCGCGTGTGGTGAGTTTCCCCGGCGAGAGGCGGCCGGCTGTCGCCCAGTGAGCCGCTGCACCAGTCCCACGAGGGTTGGTGGGGGAGGTGGGAGAGGTAAGAGTCAGGAAAACGCCGCCCTGGAGGGGAGGGAGAGGAGGTGCTGCAGACGAGTATGTAACCCTCGACTGGAGAAGAACTCTCGCATCGGAAGGTGGACGCCTTACGGTCGCTCGCCGACGACTGTGACGCAAGTGTGCCGTGTTTGCTCGTATTTATGTGATATTTGTCGTCTTTCGGTGCGACAGTTGTTTAGCAGCGCCGTTTGCCCTGCGGGTCTCTGGGACGAGTCCGCAATCCTGCCTCCCCAGACTAGTCCGAAATATGGGCGGGCGTCGGCGGAATGGTCCGAAAACTTTCATGGAATATGGCGTTTTGAGTAGTTTGCATCCCAGAGTTGGACCGGGCGCAGTAGGCATTCCTTACTAGATCGTGTAACGTTTTCATATTGGGTTATTTACTGAGGCTGCTTACAAACATTTATTTGCCGTTTGAACTGGTACATATTTTGATTAGTTGCAATGCAACGAATTAACTGCCCTATCCCTGGAGCAGCATCGACGCACATTTCGAGATCTTGGAATCTCCGCGTTCGTCCGTCCCCTTCGGGACTAGTTTGCGGAAGGGATGGTGTCCGTAGCTTTTTGATCAACGTTCCCATGAAGTGTCTTAAGACGCGCCTGTTCCGTTGTGAAGTGGTTTGCATTATATTTTGTTCGGTGGTGTGCCACCGGGTTTCCTGCGTGCCATGACTGGGCGGTTGCTGGCCGTGTGGGTATCGTCTTCCATGTGTATACCTCAGCTAATCCAGTGGCGGTCGGCTCTGCAATAGTCATGTATCGGTGCTGAGGCCCGTCAGCTGATCTGTGAGGAGGGGCGCTCGCTCGCCCGCGCCGCGTTGTGAGACGCCCTGAGACAATACTCGCCTGTGTTTGTGCGTGTGCGTGTGCTCGGGGTGCGCCGCGGGCTGTGATCGCTGTCTTCCCGGCATAGTGGCGGTGCAAGAGTGACAGGTGACCCTTGCGTAATTCCGTCAGGGCGATGCTGCGTTTGCGGCGGCTGGAGGAGAGATCGATAATCGCCTAGAATCATAGTTCACGACAGCCGGTCGTACAGTGACGCATCTGTTGATTATGACGTCATTGTCTCTAGGATCGCTGTCCAGTCGGTAATCATGCTGCATAAGACTGTTGTACAGATTCCTAGTCGATCGGCCCACGGCTCAGCGCCCGAGTTTACCGGTAGAACCGAGACCGTGTGGTAAGAACAGCGAGTAGTGGGGCAGAGTAGCAGAGTCCCTCCCGTCTGGGCTAGACGGCCGCTCGACAGCACACCACGCATCAGGGTATTTATTCCGCGTGCCGCAATCGTTGCCTTATAGTGCCTTGTAAACGTCCGAAGCATGCCCAGTGTAATGTGTATCGGGGAAAATATATTTTCATTTCTTAACGGTTTCGCGACTTGTTAACCGTCTTGGCAGTGAGACTTGTGTTTTCGAAAAATGCGGAAGCAAAAAATCATTCATCCGAAAGAGCTATCGCCGAAACTGCCTCAGTTTCGGGACGGAATACAAAATATCCCGTTCAAATCATTCAAATACATATTCTTATAAGTCGAGTGCGATAAACCCGGGTTCAGACTCACCCTTCTGGTCTTAAGATCATTTGGCTTCTACGCTTGTATTCACACTTTGCAAGCAGTTCCATTGCATATGCGTAACAGCCTGCCCAGACGATTGGGAAACCAAGCAATCCGTAATAACCGTTCAATAATCACAGCACGTTAATTACTAAACACCGTCCATGAAGGTAACGCATTGCAGCACCCCTTGCATATGCTACAATTCCATGAACTGCGATTAAAAGTATGCGTTTGCATATACTTATGTAACCACTAGCCAGTCTAGATAACAAAAAGCCAGTCAATCTGGATAACAGAAGCGAGTGTCGACTCGACACAATACGCTAATAAATAGAATGTGTAACAAACAACGCAACAAAACTTATCGAAAACAAACAAACACGACTCATGGTTGAAATTAGCGACAGTAAGCGGACTGGCCACCAACTTATCTACCGGCACAAAAGGAGCTCCGATTTACCGAATAACACCAGCTGCAGAGCGTGTCACAAGGCGTCCCAGGTCGCGACACCCGAATGCCCAGAAAGGGACTTACACCTAACTGAGTGGTGACCCACTAGGGTGCTAAAATTATAAATACTGACGTAAGGCAGTAAAGTATCGACAGTAGCCCGCACCGGAAGAAATCTAATCTAGATATGACACTAAAGATACTTTGTATAGCAATGCATTAGCTGGTATGGTACCTACGCAGCGTATCGCGGCTCACCATAGCGCAAATAGCAGTGTAAACAATGTCGCTCGCTCATGTCGCAATGTGAAGTACAAACGTCAACGTGAGGCTCCCGCTCCTCTAAATCCTCACCGCACTTCAGCTGTGTGGTAACCCACCTATAATGCGCAGCATTTCAATTCAACAAGCCATCGCAATAAATACCACGCCGATGACTCGCGTTCCTCTCGACACGCCTCTCAGTCTCGGGTCCTTGGGTAACTCCCTGTGGACGGCACCGGCGACCAGCTCACTGCTCAGCCCATTATGGGGACGGGTGTGACACACGGCCACCGCAGCTGCCCCGCACTGTCTCTAACCATCAGCGGTACGTACCACAGTTCAGTAGACTTCACCCGGCCGCGGCAGCTGTCCCGCACAGTCCACCCCATGATCGTTACGTACCACAGCTCAGGAGACTGCGCCGGGCTGCAGCGGGTCGAACTGACACACGGTGTCCGCCCGCCAGTGCAGCTCGGAGCCGGAAAACACCACCGACCAAACGTGAGGGATGAAGAACGCCTCCGGGTCCGACTCCTCCACGTACTTGAACTTGAGCTCCGGAAATTTCTGCGGGGGAGGGGTAGCTTGCGTTATCCATAATATCCTTGCGTCAATTTTTATTGAAAAGTAGACTAACAGTCTCAATTTAGCGACAAGCTGATAACAGATAATAAGTAACATCAAAAGCTGAGGCACGACAACTGCTTACATGCCCTACATATCGCGTAGCAGTCAAAAGGTGCTATAGAATCGAAACAAGAGCACTGAGTAGGTAGATGTGTTCTGTGTGGACTCACCCGCAGCCGCTCCATGGGGAACATCCTGACGCCCTCCTGGATGACGGCCAGCACCTCCTTCACGCCCGGCTCCTTGGGCAGGCTGGCCACCTTCTCGTGAAAGTGGGCCAGCACCTGTGTAGGTACAAGCAGCAGTGCGCAGTCAGAACTAACCACCACCGCTCGGGGACTCATGTCAGCAGGGTCGACACAAAACCACTGAGTCACAGGCCATCGTCAAGCCTGGTTATACTCCATCCCAAGTCGTCAACATTATCGGTGCCCGTTCACCTCCCTCCTCCAGCCTCCCTTCCCCCTTTAGAAACGTCGGATCCCATCCCATAGTGTGAGCCTAATCTTCATTCTGTGGGTGAAGCTGCCCGCCCCTCGTCCGACGACTGACCGTCTCGATGTTGCGCGATATGTCCTGGAAGCCGGTGTGGCTGAGACAGGCCTGAATTGCCTCCCGTTTGTACAGCAGGGCGTACACCAGGTTCGGGTTGTGCGCCAGCTGCGCCGTCAGACACGAGTTGATGATCTCCAGCAGCATCTTCACCACGTCCTCCAGCACCGTCACGTCCTGCAGCGGCAAAACACGCCACCAGTCAGACAGATTATGTTCGGCAGCACTAATACTTCGCTTTAGCTGTCTAAACGAGGTAGGAAGGCGATTTCCCCATTCGCCAAGCATCACAGCTCCGAAACATTTTGACAGGGAACTCTTCAAAAGCAATCAAGGCATTTCTGTTGAAACGAATCACAGTGAACTAAAGAGACTGCCTATCCAGATAATACCCGAGTCGACCGCAGCGAACAAAAGAGGCATTTGTGCCCATCAAGACCACAAACTACCTAAATTACCTCCCGCATTTCATCTCCCCGCCGGGGCCGGGGAGTCCCCGGCCTGACCGACCTGCAGTGAGACGCCGTCGGGCGGCGGCTGCGCCTGCAGCAGCTGCAGCTGCCGGCTGTGGCGGCGCGACAGCTGCTCCAACAGCGACACCAGCCGCTGGCAGACGAACGGGTGCAGCTGGCGGAACTCGGCCGACATGTTGGCCAGCGCCGCCAGACAGTTGGTGTGCAGGTACTTGTCCTGAAAAAAACGGACAATTTAGTGTGCAATCGGTGCAATGAACGAAAGCGACGACTACATAGCAAACACTTCAGGCGTTTCCTTATCACACACTAAATATCCGGTCCGATTATCCGACTCAAATATCCGACTATTTCCACATACACTTACACATACACAGTAGGTATATCACTGATCCACTATGTATATTCCGTATTCCCCTGTATCCTGCTCATGTCTCGTCTCATACGTACTGTCCTGTGTGCGCTGTTCAAGTATTTAAATCCCATCCGCACTCACCCGCGTGTTATTCATGTTGAACTGAATGGCTCGGACCAGCACCAGGACGATCAGCCCGCCCACGGAGATGTCCGTCACCGAACGCTCCGTGAACCACGGAGCAGACTTGACCAGCTGAGGACAGAATGAGCAGTTGTTATTTGTATTAGGCATAAAGGATCAACATTAAACAAGCTTTTGATGTAAGCCGACCGCCTGCGCTAGCTAATAAGATTCATCGGACCACATCAAAAGGAAAAAGCCAAGGAAAACAGTAAAAAGAACGCCGATGAGGCGAATATCACCGATAAGTTTCGGCAAATCACGACGCCTGATCATCACTTTAACCAGCATGCCAGACTAGCCACCAGGCTAGATCAACGAATCCCCAGCATTGGCTCGAGCCGGGTCATCCAACCCACCGTGTCGTGCACGCTGCGGTTGAAGAGCGGGTCCTCGGTGAGGATGAGCAGCACGATCAGCGACATGTACAGCTGGTGGCTGCTGCTGCTGTTGTCAGCCACACGGTACAGCGTCAGTAGCGTCGGCATTACCTGCGGAAGGGTAGGGCGGCATGACGGAGTGCTAGAGCGGACAGCACACAGTTTATAGTTAAATGTACAAGGAAAACATCACTATTTATCCTGGACCTGTCCCCAGAATGAGTCGTTAACGAAACAACTCGGTGCATGAGGAATGCAAGTGATTCTTTTTGTACCCACAACAGTAAAACACGGCTGTATGCGTGCGTTGTCCGATATTTCCGATTCAATACGTTAGCCATAAGCTCTACGTCCATTTTTAAGCCGCTATATTTCCAAAAAATTCCTTTAAAAAATCCTTTAAAAAGTGCCAGTAGCTCGAAGCTGAGCCCAAATGCGTTTACAAAACGGTTGTATTGCTAGATATTGGTACTACAGCCCACAATATCCCCAGCCATCCGTCCCACACCACACGACCACCAGACAGCGCCACTGACCGGCGTATCAACGTCTGTCCTCGACAGCACGTAGGTGCGGAAGGCGGCGCTCTTGTGCAGCAGCAGATAGAGCAGCAGAGAGGCCGGTTCACTCGGCGGGAGGTCACACAGCGCGTTCAGCAGCCGGCCAAAGTCAACCCGGAACGAGTGGGGCCGCACCATCAGCTGCGGCTCCGCAGGGTCTGCGCAGGGGCAGGGAGGGACCGGTCAGCACGCATAATCAGCTACTGTAAGTACATAGAACCGACTGCGCTCGAGGTGCCATCCTACATCAAAACAAGATCTTAAAGAGCTATTTCGTCGCAACTCGTCCAGATATTTCGAACATAACTACGTGTATACAATTAAATCAAAGCGTCATGGGGACATAATGTATGTGGGTGTGAGGAGGGGGTATCCCGGCCACCACCACTGACCGTGAAAGTTGGCCATCTCGAACATGGCTCTGCGGTGCGGGTTGTCGAGCGGGCTGCGCCGGTCCGTGCAGTGGTTCCCCAGCACCAGCAGCAGCAGCAGACTCTGGGCGGCTACCGGCGGCCAGTGGTCGGCGGTCTCCTCAGCGCCGCCGGCCGTGAGGCTGCTGTATCCGAGCGTCAGCGCGCTCCACAGACCGCCTGTCGGGGCACACACGGTATTTACTTCACACTACTTGCCACCCGCCCGCAGTCCAACACCGGCTCTCAAATTCCTGCTAATTTCCGTCGGCTCGCAGTCGAACACCGGATGTTTTCAACGTGGCATAATATTAATGGAGAAAAACCCTCTCCTCTAAGGAGCTATGTAAGGATAACTAGCGACGACTTACAAAGAACCATTGGCAGTTATAACGAAAAGCCGACAGAATTTTCAAACGCCAGTCGCCACTCACCAGCGAGTCCGAGGGTGAAGCTGCCGCCGCCGTCCGGGCCGTCCGCAGTCGACCAGTCCGGGGCCCGGTCTCTAGCCGACACACGCCGCAGCAGGGTCTTGACGAAGGGGCCCGCGTCGGCGGCCGGCTGGGCCGACAGCAGCAGCCTGACGACGGGCAGACACATATAACAGTGGTTTTAGACAGGCTGCTACCCATGAGTATGTGCTGTCTATTATGCAGTCCGATGTGAGACGTGGCTACAGCATAGTCAGACAAGCGCTACAGCCAGAGAGGCGATATCTGATAGTGCCAGGGGCTTACCTGTAGACGGGCAGCTCATGAGCTGGTTTGGTAGTGTACATCTGACAGCCAAGTAGAATCAGCAGGGTGTTCAGAGCCTCCAGGTGAATGAAGTACGTATTTTCCCTGCAATCAGTCAGCATATTCTACATGATAGCGGAGCAAAACGAAAACGTCGACGATAGGAAAATATAGGTCCGAGCAGGATGACCATGACCAAGCAATATTGACCCGTAAGAAATTATGCCAAACGTTCAGCTAAAAACCCACGACAAGGCCTCCCTCGACTCTCAGTGCCAATTAACTGACTAGAATACAGGTGCAGTGTGATGGCCAATATTAATGTCCCCTTGTAAGCCTACCCACGTGTTTCTATACTGACTGTAGCGGCAGTGTGATGGTCATGTCGGTCAGTGTGCCGATCAGCAGCAGCAGCGGGTCGGATCCGGCCGGCGGCGGCACCCCGTCGGGCAGCGGCAGCGCACGACACTGGCGCACCAGCTGCTCCTCGTCCGAACAGGAGACCAGCCGCTGGCACAGCTGGCGGACCAGCTGCGCAGCTGCCAGCGTCTCCCGGCGCAGGTCGTCGCTGCGGGACCGGGGGGCATGGTCAGTGGGTGATTAACGAGACACAGCGGAATACTGCGAGATCGCGGGTACGGGCAGTACGAACACTTCCTCAAAGCACACCATCACCAAGTACAATCGATTCGCAGAGCATTCTCAAAGAGAATTTCTGTCGATGTGAGATGTATGGACACATTGGACAGTAGACACTGCAGTCTGCAAGTAACAAAACTCACCATTTCAGGGCCAAAGATGACTTCAAATCGGTTACTTTCAACGAGAATATCTTTATCAGGGCAGCAAAATTTCCTGTCTTGGGATTATTTGTCTGAAATGTGTTGAAGAGGTCTTGCAAGTTGCTTTCCAGATTCTTGTCATCGTTTCTGGAACCAATACAGTATCAGTCAGACAAATGCAGATGTGAGTCAAATGCAGATAGTGCAGGGTGTCTGAACGCAATATTTATGTCCCTGTAAAGTGTATCACCAGATGAGCAAACCCATTGAATACTACTGACAGCTTATCCAATGTCTAACCGAAATCTGACCTCAGAATATGGTATCAGGTCTCTTGACCTTAACTGGCAACCTACATTGGCACCAGTTACCATTCTAGGTCAGCCGGCTTTCTACATGCAGAGTCGGCATCGGTGTGTTCAGAAAAGAAAATTCTGGCAGGAAATTGCTGTTGTTATCATCCTCGGTGGCCCACAGCCACTGTCATATAGCGGCTCCAACAGATCCTAAGCTGCAGAAGCTAGACCAGCGAGGCTCAGGCACCGAAGCAGCATGTAGGAACTTCGTGTGTCCGCCTCACGACACACCGCACAGTCCGAGTCCGACCGAACACATCATCAGATGTCCGCCATCCAACAGAGGTTCCTCGCCTGTCTCCCGTATATACCAGCCACAGTGAAAACGCCAGAAGCATTCTGTCACACTTGCACGTTTAATCCAAATGGACAGTTCTGGGCGCTCTCACAAATGTGTGATAGTTGCGTGGATGTCCGTCGCACATTTCAATGCTTGTTTCATTAGCAAGCTGCGAGGGAGAGCTCTAAAGGCATGTCAAAGAATGCCCTAATTCGTTATTGCATTTCTGCTCGCCTGGGCCATGCCTTGCACACCTGAGATTTGCAATGCATGCCTGAGGAAAGCTTGTTGTAGTGGAGGGAGGACCCATGCACCCATACTGCAAAGTATGCCAATAGAAGAACCACATCCAGTAAGTACCTGCCTGTTGCGATTTATCCAGGGTAATTATTGTGTGATGTGCCTACCATGGTTACCCCAATGGTGTCGATACTGCCATTTAGCTAAACGGCTTGACAATCTGTGAAGGTTCCAGTTAAGAAATAAAAACATGAATGGCAAAATGTGGGCCATCGCATGCATGCATTTTCGGCATCTCTCGTCATCATCATTAGCTGCATCGAACAACAAATCTGGTAGGCAAGTCATTCGCGGCGGATTTGGTTAGGATTAGGACGTTAGGTATTTTGTACTTTGCCGCGGCAAAGTGGCGGCCCTCAGGCCTCAAGGCCCGCCATCAGCCATACGCATCTCGCCGTACCACCGAGCGATAACGCTAAACCTCACATGATCGAGAGCATTCTTGATTATGAATGCCGCAAAGTGCAGAATGCAACAAACTCAGATTCTTTGGGTGCAACTTATTAGCTGCGTCGAACATACCCGATAAATCGTTCGCATCTGACTGTTTGAAGCGGTAAAACGGTGATCTTCTAGCCCTCACATCGGCCACGCACTCCTCGAATCCCTCACATCGGCCATGCTCTATACTCATCCCTCTCAGTCTGCCGCTGGCACCACGCGGCTCGCAAAGCCGAGCGGTGCTTTTCGTGTTGTACCTAACAGTGCGAACTTCCGGGCGACCCACGTGATTGATGGGACAACCAGAGGGCTGTTCACGGGCCCTGTGTGCGGTCAGACCGTACACAGCCTCCAAATTCCACCCACTGCGTCTCTACGTCAGCCTTCCGTCACCGCACACAGCGACCGCTGTGGCCGGTAGGGACTGGCCACAGCAACCGTCCACCGCACGCAGCCTGACGTCAGAACCGCCTACCCATCCCCTACCCCACGCCTGCTGCACACACCGCACACACAGCACTCAGCAGTTTGCGGTGCCCGTCAACACCCCTCAGCACTGGCATAGTCCGTTCTGATGACCGCATACTCATTAAGACCCGAGAGGATACTGAATTAGGTACATGTCAAAGCTCCAACAATGTTTTTTTGATTTTCCTCATTTATCTGCTCTGATCTGCCATGTCAATCACTAAGCCAATTCCACACAGCACTACCATTTGCATTTAGCATATACATTTATTCAGCATTTACAGCACTGCAGATTTGCTACCTACACTAAATCTGCACCACACCAAGCCAAAGCTGCAACGCACCGCACCAAATCCGCACCAGCCGAGCAAGCCCGCACAGACGAGATCTCTTTGTAATTACCATACTTTGCAGACTGGCCATGCACTACAGAGATCTTGTTGAAGCATGTTGTGTCTTGCAGTCTGGATTGAAATAAGCTCCGAGTAGGGAACGATCACACAATCAAATTATACACAAGAATCTTAATCCAATATTCAAAGTGACTTACCTCGTTAATTTCCTTGCAAGTTTGAATCCAAGCAACTGATTCCAAAATGGGTCATTCGGAGCGATGAGATCTTCGCCAACAAATTTCCGAAGCTCCGGGCTGTCTTGGATGCTCTTGAGATCACTCGCACCAGCGCCCATTATTGCTCAATATATGGGGACATCAATATGCATTTATCCTGAAGGAAAATGCACCGCTATTTAATGTCAGTTCACGACGACCTGTCCTTATCCTATGCTGTGCGCGAATAAAATAATGCATTGAAATGTTTGTTGATATGTCACGAGACAGATACGACGCGTTCGATTCGTTCTTAAAAAAGAAGATGCTACCAAAATAAAATAGGGTGAATTTACATCGAAACGACTTCGACAGTCGACACGCGGCATTCTATCGCTACGTCTGACATGCATGCAAATAAAATTATGTTGCATTATCAAAAGATCACTTTTAAGCAAAATGCCCACAGTTTCAACCAATAGGTTTTCATCAATGCACAAATACGGATCTTCGCCCATGCGTACCTTCTGGCGAACTTTATGTGAGCCAGGCCAGCTTTTCATTACCATTACAGAAGTGCTTGCTCACTGATGCAAAGGCAGCATTGATCGCAATTTTGTCCATCCGGCAGGCAAAACTTTGGGAGATAAGCTGTAGCAATAACTCTGTTGTACCTTGCACTTTAAGGTTCTTATCCGCACAATAGGCAAAAAAAAAATAATTCAGTGATCTTGTTTATTTGTATATTGGGGTTATAGGGCGCGCCGACTACGAAGGTCATGTCGCGCGGTCGCGCTCGCCAATAATCCAGTGAAAGCCAACTAAGATAACAAAGCATCCGCAGTGCAACTATTTTCAATCCTTTTCTACCATTTTTTTATTTAGAAACTGGAGTGGAACATTTCAGTGACTACGCTAGTTCATACTTGCTAATTGTAATCCCAGCCTTACCACTCAGCTCATCGATCATATCTCAGTTTTCAGCTGTCATTGACACCAGTAACTTAGATGTAATGTATTTCTCGTGCAGCGCGAAACAGTGGAGTATGATCATGTACGTCACCGACTGACGTTCAGCAGGCGACTAAGGCCGCGTTCGATGTCTCCTCGGACGAAGAACATTCTGCGCAGAATATTCTATTTTGCGTTCGATGAAGCACACAGGCGGACGACGAGACCGGCCATTTTGTGCGCCACTTACACAATGTGCGTCAGTTTCGAAAAAGGCCCAAGTTTACGTTTCCATAGAGACCACGCACAAATGTCAACAACTTCTGCAAACAGCTGCTGCGCCGCTTTTGAAATACGCGCCATCATTGCCTCTCTGCCCACCGTAGTACGCTCAAAAGATTCTGCGCGGACGACGAAGATTCTACGTGACGTCACGTAGAATCTTTGCCGTCCGTGCGACATCGAACGCCATTTCGGGCCCGGACGGCATAGAATCTTTGCCGTCCGGGAGACATCGAACGCGGGGTAAGTCGCCTCCGCGATCAGACAATGGCTGGTGAGTTGCCGCAGCCCGAGATCGGCCGCCAGCCTCCAATAGGACATAATCAGCGCGCGCACAGCGCCGGACGTAGGTCCGGTAAATCATCCCAGTAAAAGGCCGTGGGCCGGTCGGACGGCGGCGCGGCGCTCACTCGAGCCGCAGTGCCTTGTAGTTGGTCCAGAGCCAGTTGTGGTAGAGGCTGAGCATGTGGTCGAGCGGACGCACCTGCTTCCACTGGCCCAGACAGAATATCCGGTAGGCGTCGCTGCCGTACCGTCCGATGCCGTACAGCTCCGTGGGAGACTTCCACTTCTTGGTCAGGAACTCATCTGCAACGGCAAATAGAACAAGCATCGACTCAGAAATGCAACAAAATAGCACGTAAAAATGACATAAATGGAGCTCAAGCTTAGAAGGCTGGGCAGTGCAATTAATTTTCATTCCAAACCAACGACAGGAACTGATTCCAGTCAAATGCATGATTTAACATAAGCCGAGATTTGCTGAAAGTCAAACAAATGTGCAGGAAAAGGTCGATCAAATAAAATGCTTCGTGCAGCCGTGCATGATCCTGTCAGCCATTATCCAAAGACATTATTTGTAAATCACCTGAAGCTTACGAAACAACTACTGGCAAGTTAATTTCAGGAAATCGGATAGTACTCAAATACAAAAATGAATTTTGTATTTGTAACTGAAACAAACCATCTTCAAGAACGGTTTTAAAAGCTGTAATTTTCTCAGCTCGTCTGAATCCAAATACAATGCCATCGAGCCAAGCTGAATACCGCTGCGACACCATTCCAGGCTGACCACACTGCAGTGAATGACTGACCTGAGAAGCGAATGATGAGATCCGCGGCGTGCTCTCCCAGCTGCAGAGGCTCGATCAGGGACGCGATCTCCTGGGCGGAGGCGTCGCGCGCCGCCTTGGCCGTCGGCCAGCGCTCGAAGAACTGTTCGAGCAGCGGCCGGGCGCGCCGGGCCTCGAGCACGGGCGGCGGGTCGCCCCACACGTCCTCCGGGGAGGTCTCTGTACGGGGACAGACGATCACGCGTCAGGCCACTTCAGGCCAGCATCACTCGATGGACAAGCGCCAAACAATATCACCTAATGCGAATCGATTGTTTCCTGAACTCAGGGCAGCATGTGCTGTGCACGCTTCACATGCCGTGCTCCAACACACTCTTAAATGGCCGACGTGAAGTGTGAACTGTCGAGGCAAATAAAAAAATAAGTACCGCAGAGCTATATGGTCCCTGAAGGACAAAATCCTTTCAGTTTGAACCGTTATATATAAAAATACACATCTTTATACCTCTTGTAGACACCGATAAGAGTTCTGACCTGGCGGTTTGCTGAGGAAGATTGATGCGATGAGCAGTTTCCATGGGTCCTGGTAGTAGCGCTCCTGCACCAGGTCGTAAGGCGACTCGGGCGGCGTCCACGGACGCTTCTTGGGCGCTCCCGGTCCTGACGGACGATAAAGCGGGATACGTTACACGTTATAGCCATATTCAACATGGGTGCAGGGCAACCATAAACAAGTCATTACAGTCCCAACTGGAAAAGGGCCCAGATGCCCAGATGATCGATCAAAAAGGGGACGGCACGGAAAAACCATATTTGTGCTACTAAACTTGTAAAAACGAGATCAGCAAAAAGAATTTAGGTACGTAAAAACCAAGTTGGTCATCTTCCATCAAATCCTCTCCATAATCCCCGCTGACCCGTTGTGCCACTCAGCACCAACACTCGGCCAATTATAAACTGGGCACTTTCAAGGTCAGCGGCAACAAACAACAAAGCAACAACCCCGAGCCGGTGTCGCACTCACCTTTGCTAACGGCCGGCATGGCTACGCGCGGCGTGGTCGATGGGCTGAATTTGGACGCGGGCGTCCTCAGCGGCGGCGAGGCCAGGCTGGAGCCGCTGCCGGCCGGACGGCCCGGCGGACGGCCCGGCTTGCCGGAGGAGAACGGCCGGCCGGGCTTACCAGCGGAGGCAGGTCTACCCGGCTTGCCACTGGATCCCGGTCTTCCCATGTGTCCCGAGGACGAGGGCTGGCCCGACTTGCTCGCAGACGGCGGTCTTCCGGGCTTCCCCGCTGGCCGGCCCGGCTTCCCCGCAGACGGAGGGCGGCCCATGCGCTTCGAGAAGTCAAACTTGAGCTTCAGCTTGGTGCTGCTGGCGTCGCCGGCGCCACCCAGAGACTTGGCCCGCATGGCTTTGACGGCCTTGTTGGTCAGCTTTTTGACACTGGAGGCGCCCGACTTGGAGCCCGGTTTGCGCGAGCTGGGCGTGCCGGCCTGGGCGTACGGGTTGAAGCAGAACAGGTCCGGACATAGCTCGCTGTTGATCTCGCCCAGGTAGCGCCGAACTTCATTCTGCGACCGGAACTTGCGACCCATCGGGCTGTTCGCGAGAATGTGAACCGTTATGTCATAAACGATGAGACGCAAAAAGACGCAGCATCATAACTTATCTAGGTCCGTAGCTAACAGCTCTGTAAACCGCGTAGTGGCAAATGAAGTTAGCATTCATTTGAAAAATAAAGCGAGCTCAAATGTTTTAAGAGACGGACGAACAGAGGGGGAGCCCACACTAAGCAGATAATGTTGCGCAATGCGCATGTCCCTCACGCTCTGATAGGGCCATTCTGGGTTGAATTGGGAGAACTTGGATATCCAAATTTTAATGTGCCTATCCAAGTCAGACATGGTCCGTCCAACTCAACTTCCTTCAGCTGGCCGCCATTGCTCCAACCAAATGCGTACCACCTAAGATTTTCACAAGTCGACTGTCGAGCGCCGGAGCGACTCAAATCTGGGCTTTTTCACCGAGAGCCCAAGTGAACGCGTGCCCTAGTAAATAACACGTCCGACTGGGGACCCGATGGCGTTAAGTCCGAGGCTAAAAGAGAGCGACTGTTTGGCCCGTGATGTCACTCCAGCAAATGGCAGCTGGCGAAAGTGCCAGGCTGGACTCAGAAGGACCGTGTTGCCATGTACCCGTGTTCCATCTAACGTAATGGTACCTCCGTAAAATTTTACCAGTGGACCATGCACGGGCTGTGTGGCTGGCTGGTGAATAATGAAAATAATCCAGGCTATGGTGGTGGTCCAACCATAACATATCAAGGAGGCGACGTTTTCACGCAAGCACAACCCCTTGCTCGTTTGGCCACATAGCGACAAGCAGTAAGCAGTGCTAGACGGATCTAGAAAACAAAAACATAAGAAAGCACTTCAGAGACAATAAAGTTCGGTCAGTGATCATATTACCAGAGGTCATGAAATGAAGTGCCAGTTTTTCACCATACCACCATTAGGAGTTAGGACTCACTTATAGATGTAGACGTCCCATTTTCCTGCTGACTGGCCAGTAGACCTCTGTACACATTTCCTGGTCCAGCCCTCTGGGAGTTCTGGGTCGTCAAAATACACACCGTCTGAAAAATGTCAAACCAGACATAAACATGAAATGCTTGAAATTATCAGCTGACACTGTAGCATTTATTAATGCTTCAACGTAACAAAGCCACTTAAAGTTTAGCTGTTAAATATATATAACACAGGGATTACCCACAATTTTTTTGTTTTACATGATCAGTGAAACATAAATGCATTTTAATTACTTTATTGTTTTATGAAAAATAAAGGAGAACCAAACCACCACAAAGTGAAACCATGCAATTGTCAGGATATTTCAGTTGAGAAAAAGTTACAATACTCTCATAATCTTGCTACCTGACGGAAAGACAAATTGAAATGGATATCTAAGCTAGAAGAACATTCACTTTGGTTAAGCCTAGTTTCTCATTTCCCACCTTTAGTGTCTGGTTTTCTTGGAGTTGGGTCTGTCATGTTTGAAGTCTGTAACAATAACAAGACAATCACAATCAGAACTTGAAAAACATTGATCACATAATCCTCAGCCAGCTTCTTCCCAGGAGGTGGTAGTAACTAGTAACTGGGGAGTTTTCACACAAATGTGAGAATTGATGCAGTGCCACCGCGCACCCCAGCACTAGGTGAAGGGCAAGGCCAGAGCAGCCCTCTGATGCCATGAGCTAACCCAGTACGTACTGCTACACGGTGCCGGGTGCGGTGAATGAGGATCGCCAGAGCAGCCTAGCTCGGCAATGGGAGGAAATGTTAGCAGACCTATGACTCCCAATGCTGACTAAAGTGATTTACGGCTCGACTCCTCAGGAAGAAAGTGGTTGGAGCAAAGCTTTGAACCACGCTATGCAGCACCACACTGAAGAGGAATACCGGAAGGTAGCGTCTAGAGAGAGAAACGTACACTGGATAAAGCATCTGTTGCCACTAGCTGGACTGCTACAACCCCCTGACCAGTTTTGGCCAGCCAGCAGATACAGCGCAGTAGGTAGACTGGCGACCGCCACCAAGATCAAACTACTTACTGGACATTCCTGGGTGGCCGGAGGAATAGTCAGGCGACACAAAAAGGAACAGGGCATCTGTCCTCCATGTAAAGATGGGCTTGAGACCCTGGAGCACTTTCTCTATGAATGTATCAAGCTGCTACAAGCAAGGGAAGAGATACAGAAGAGAAGTGGAGCAGTGCTACCAAGAAGCTACAGCGCAGAGGAACTAATACTGGAAGCTGACCCACAGGTCAGCTGGATGATTCATCTGTAGACCTGCACAGGATGAGAGTGCAGGCAGAAATCAGTGAAGCAGCAGGACATCCTTAAGCTCAGCCTTCTATGACCATCCTTCGATTCTCTAGCGCCTGTGATGTAGCGTTAACACGCACAGTGGAAGGGTTGCGAGTACTACGCCCAGTGGAAGGGGGCGGATGTCTCCCCCCCCCCCTAATATCTCAGCTCCCACTGGACCTAGAAACACGAAATTTGGAGGGTAGGTGAAGGCCCTGGGAAACTCTGTTGTGTGTGAAGTTCATGACCCTAGGTCAATATCTTCACGGTCAAATGAGGTCAAGTCAAATGTGGTCAAATCTGCCATATAAGTGACTTTTTTGCGTTTACACGCCGATAACTCAAAAAGTTACCGGCCAATTTCTTTTTTCCTTTCACTATACGAAAGAACATACATTTGTGAGTATGTAAATATGGTAAATTTCTAGTTAATCCAACAATAAATATGGCAGTTGCCAGTTAGAAGCCTGCTAAGGGTAAGATGTCGCCGACTGAAGCGGGATCGGCCGACGCGGGAAACGCGGCAATCACAATTTTGTGTTTACACACTCATAACTCACATTTTTATCGGCCGATTTTCAAAATTCTTTGACCATAAGATTGCTTGAGCATTTCTTTATTTTCTCACGAAATTTGATGCGAATCGAATATGATCAGCGGTAAGGGGCGCGATGTAAAGACGGAACCGTCCCGTCCCGGCACAGTCTACAATGCAGGCGACACATAACGGCTGGCGCCGGCCGCCGCGCCGCCGCGGCGGTAGGATGCTTGATTTTACACCGCTATTACTAGACAAGTTGTTAACCGATTTTCTTATTTCTTCCACGAGAATATCCGCAATTCAATTCTGGACAGGTAGTCAAAATTTCACATTAATGTTAAGTTTGTGGCGCAAGTTATTGGTGAAAAATACCCTGACAGGCCCTGACAGGCCGTACCCTGACAGGCTTCGCCGCCTCGGCCTCCCATCGCTGCACTACCGCCGTCGTCGTGGAGATATGGTGACCGTGTACCAGCTCTTCCACGGACTTCTGGATGTGCCGCTTGAGTCACTGCTGACGAGACACGAAGCGCAAAACACGCGAGGCCACCAGTGGAAGCTGAGGAAACCAAACGCCAAGCATCTTTCTCGCAGGAACGCGTTCAGCGTCAGAATCATCAACGATTGGAACGCCCTGCCAACAGACGTCGTCGCTGCTGAGTCGCTGTCGTCTTTCAAGGCGCGGCTGGACCGGCACTGGTCGAGCGTGATGTTCGACATCCCTACCCTGTACAAAGGACCATAGCCTCTCCGATTATGCCTTTCACTCGATACGAGCGGGACCCATAGGCCGAGTGGCCTTATAACCCGATGACCAACTAAGGTAAGGTAAGGTAAGGTAAGGAAAAAGAGGAGGGGTGGGCAAAATCCGCCCCCTTCCACTGCACGTGTTTAAGTGTTTAACTGATAAAAGACTATAAGCATTGCATCCACTGGATGCAGCCGACCACACAAGAAGATCTCTATCGGAATATCTCTATCCTATCAGAAAAGCTCCAGGGTGTCTACCACCATCCACTGACCACTACCAGTACCACCAGCTAGGATGCTTGGCATAAAGTGTGTGGTCAGAGATGTCCTGAGCAGTGTTTCCTGGCAACACACTACACAAAGCAGTGTATTAGGCTTCCATGGAAACATCAACAAATTAAGATGCTCACAATGTTGAAGCGTAGAGTTGAATTCATCTCAAACGACGCCATACCAATACAGCAGTGCAGAGTAGGGTGCTGCAGCACCAGGGCGTGAAAAAGGAGCCTGCTTGATAGATGCCAAGAACAATTTGTATGTACCACTGCCTTAGATATAAAGTACTAGCCACGCGCCAGTGCGTCTGCTACTGATGGATATATACTATATAGGGCAGAAATGGCGGAACACCTTCAATTAAGGAGGGCACTGCTGACTTTTGGTCCCATTCTTTCCATGCAACACCCATGGGGCTAATGTTAAAATACAAAAATCAAAGAGGGCACGGTGCCCCGGTGCCTTCCCCGTTCCAGAGGGGTGTTCACGGGCACCGCACACTGCTGTGTGCGGCGTGTGCGGTGCGGCCAGCAGGCGTGTGGGTAGGGGATGGGGGTAAATGTCAAGTTTAAGTCCTAAGAAGATTTCATTGATAAATTTTTCATATTTTTACATTATTTGACATCCTGAATCCAAAAATGATACTCATTTGTCTCGCAAATAAAAGAAAAAAAACATAATCAAACCTGACCTAACCTTACCTACTTACCTATAACCTACCAACCTACAACCTACAAACCTACCCTAACCTAACCTAACCTACAAACCTACCTACCTACAACCTAAAACCTACAAACCTACAACCTAACCTAACCTAAAATCTAAAATTTTTGCTGTTTCATATTCGTATCAACAGCGTCACAATTGTAGTTAGGACCTAAACTTGACATATACCGGGGATGGGTAGGCGGTTCTGACGTCACGGCTGCGTGCGGTGGACGGTCCACTGTGGCCAGTCCCGACCGGCCACAGCGATTGCTGTGTGGGGTGATGGAAGGCTGACGTGGGGACGAAGTGGGCGGAGCTCCGAGGCTGTGTGCGGTCCGACCGCACACAGGGCCCGTGAACAGCCCTCAGATATAGGGCCTTGCACCTGATGACAAAACGCCCTGTGGGTCAGGGCGGTATAAGTATTTTTTAAAAGCAGTCATTACTCATTTCAATTTCAAACAAACAAATACACGCACTAAGCTATTATTTCCTATAATCCCAAACACAAGAGCCCCTACCATGACCAGACAAAATTAAATTAGATAAAAAAAGGAAAGAGCTCACCCACCACTACCTTAAAATTCAAATTTCATCATATCAACGTTGAGAGAGGGTACAAAAAACAAATTTCTCACGGTTTTAGAATTATTGTGTTTGTTGTCTTAGGCGAACAAGCACTAGTCGATTCTACTATCCAATTGGTAGCCTAGACTGCGTCAGTGAGCAGCATTTTTTTCCATTTACACAAGTTTCGAACATTATGCAGGACAGCGCGCCATGAATAGCATGGCGCTACTGTTTCGTTTTTGGCGCGAGATGAAGGCATTCCTTTCTCATCCTTACTTTTGCTCGGGGATAAAATGCTTGAAACTGAAAGAGTGCTTTATTCAGTGTATATATCTCACAATTGAATAATTTTTAATATTTTGTATCTCAACTGCTTCCCTGACCATTGGTTTTTGCATCGAATTCATTATTAATTATTTGGTAAATTATTTGAGTTAACAATATTTTCCTTAATCTGGAATCAAAATTTATCCATGCCTACTTCTGCTACCAAATGATATGCGATGTTGACACTTCAATGCCGTCGCGCTCGTGATCGTGGGACGAGAAGGGAGGGGCTGGGAGGAGGACAGCAGCTGTGGTGCTTGGGTTCTCGTTTTTATGGGACAGTACCATGGCAAATTAAAAGGGACCTTTGTATCAAGACAAATTACCTGGCTATTACCAGAAGTTTCGGCGAAATGTTTACGTTTTGATTGACAAGATTTGATTTAATCAACTTTCGCTAACAAGGTGAGAATTTGGAATGAAGTGAAATCCTCTCCAGGATTTTACAATTATCAGCCTATGGATGTCTGGCTGCCATACTTTCATGACAGGTTTTTCGTCAATGATTTATTTTTTCATCAATAAATATGTTCCGAGACATCAATGGTCATGGTAGGCACGGAACTGTTGAAACCCTACTGCCCATGCCACGAGTGCCACATAGCATTTTGGGTCTGAGTGCCCTGAAGCATCTGGGGACTGGGGTCGTTGCCATCAGAGCCATCAACTATCGGGATGCTGTCACACTTTCTGGCGTAAGATTTTCCAACACTGGCTAGTCAAGAATCTCTGGGCAGAATTATAGCACATCTCTCTCTAGGTGCTTACTCAGGAACTTACATTCATGGATAAGAGCCCAAGAGAGGACATAGCAACTGACAGGGCATAATTTGCATAGATGCTGTCTGTGGTTTGTGCGACTTGTTGACTATTCACTGCTGGCATACTATGATAATGATGCCTATGTTGCGATTGCCAGGTGTTCCCAGGGCTAGGCCAAGAAATGCTCAGTGTTCTTTCTTAGCTACTTTCCCTAGATTACTTCAGTTTGTCTTGTAGTTTCTTTAAAAATACTGATCATCATCAAGACACATAAATTGATTTACCTCTAGTGTGAAATATAGTTTACTTTATCATTAACTGTTACATATTGCAGATAGTTTTACCCCTCCTACAAATGAACAGAATAAGTAACTGCCTAACTAGTGTATGACAATCATTCTACAACTATACTGGCAGCAAGGAGGTGCTTTCAAACTTATGCACTGACCTGAGTTGAAAGGCCATAAATCACATATTATTGAAGGTACCTTACACACTTATGCCTTTGAAAGTCCTGATTTAAATGATGCAGCTTATATCTGAGAGCTGGAGGAATGGAAAAGCTATCAAGATTCCAGTTGGAGTTATCACTTCACATTTCAAAGTGCACAAACATTTCAAGCTGGTTTCAAATATCCTGCTCAATGTTCATCTTTTGAAATTCTGCATAGAGGTCTTTCAAGTGGTCATATATCAGATCATTTGATTTTTTCATTTTATGTTCCATGCATTTCTTATTAACTCTATTCAAGCAAACTTTTAATAGTTGAAATAGCAACAATGATAAAACTATAACAATGTTATCTTCATCAGCTGATAATGATCTCTTTGCTTCTAGCAATGGTTGGCAGTGATGCAGTCACTGTGGAGGCAGAACCCTCCTCCCGGACCTACTACAACACCTGGCCAGATGGCAGGGCTGGGACAGAGTGCCGCTGCCAGCTGCAGGACTCGACAGACGAGAGCGCCGCCGGCGACCCGGGCTCGGTGTACCAACACCGCTGCCAGACGTGCGCCGGCGCCGACTGCATGCACCCGTGCCGCGACCCCGGCCGACACTACGCCAAGCTGGGCCTGTCCGCACCGCCGGCGTCCCCGCTGGGCGGCGGCCGGCCCTCCTGCTGCTGCCACAAGTCGCGCTCGGCGCCGTCGGCCAGCGGGCTGTGCGTGGACTCGCTGCCGCTCGTGTACGACCGGCGGACCCGGCAGCTGCGGCTGCAGCCGGCCGTGCCGCCGCCGCCGGCCGCGCCGCCGCCACCGGCGCCCGGGAAACCCGGCCTGGAGGAGGAGCGCGACAGCGGCGTCGGCGAGAGTCCGTCGAGCACGCTGCAGCAGGGCGCGGCGGCGCCGCGGCCGCTGCGGCGCGCCGACGGCTCCCTGAGCAGCACCTCGAGCCTCAGCACCGACTACAGCCTGTACTCGGAGCGGCCGGCTGCCTCTGACGGCGGCTCGAGTCGCGACCTCAGCGCGCAGGGCGCCGCCGCAGCAGCCGCCGACAAGGCCGCCAAGAAACGCGGCATCTCCGGACTCTTCTCACGGTAGGTGGAGGCAATTGTGATGGCTGGTCTTAGCTGACAGGTGGCTCAGCTGGTTTGTAGTCCAATTAGTCTCAGCTCTAAATTACACTGTCAGGCTAGGATTTTGTGGTCGGTTTCTTTGATTCTGTACATCTGATCATGTGGGGCATAATGAATGCATGTAGAATGTAGATGTGTTTTTTTGTTGTTGTTAAAAAAGCGTCCCGTTTCTTTTCTTGAATTTTGTCAAGTGCTTCTGTTTAGAATTACAATGATATTTCAGGGGTTTATTCTCATGGCGATCTAAGGAATCTCAATCTCCTGGCAGTCTTTCAACAAATGTTCCTGGATGGAGATTATTCAACAAATCACAAGCGGACGACGGCGATGCCTCTCACACGTTGCTGGTATGTGCCCTTTGGTGAACCACACCCATCAACATAGCGAAACGGTCGACCAGGCACTGACGTAAAACGGCGTCGGCTGTGCTGCTTCAGTAAGCATGGATTTATTTTATTTGGCAATGGCCTGACTGAGACATCAGTCAAAATGTTTCACAGTTGAAGTGTGTTTCGGATATTTCCGTTCCTGGCGCGCCTTTGGTTTGGGGTTTATTTTGATTTATGCTTGTACAGAGTTTGCACACCTGTCTTAGATTGGCCCACTTAGCTCTTAGCGCTGAATGAAGTCGTGCAATTTAACCATTCAGTTAGCCTGACGCGCTAGTTTAAGTGCATGTCAAAGACCTCTAATGAATAGTTGATCCGAACGACAAGTAGCTTGTTTAACCTCAACACCACTGGCTGACCTCGTCTGACCTTTTTCTGACCTCGGCCGCCTCAGCCGACGCCGAGCTGCACCAGTCTGACGAGCCTCACCAGCCTGGCGAGCCTGACGAGCAGCACGGGCGACTCTCCGTGCCGAGCGGCGCGGCGCAACTCTGGCCTGCAGGCCGGCAGCATGGGACTGATCCTGGAGCCGCGGCCCCACCACCTGCCCGCCAAGAGCCGCGCGGAGGAGAGCCGACACCGGCTCGAACACCAGCGCATGCTCGAGGAGGCCAGGCGCAGAGGTAAGCGAGGGGTGCGAGAATGAAACTGGCGATTTCGGAAGAGCTAGAGTTTGGAGGAGTCTTTGAGAAGCCGCTGGAAAGCCTGGCCAAGAACTGCGTTGTTTAGCAGCGTGACGTTCGGTGTTGCCACTCCAACCCCGTTGGACTGCTTGCTTTGGGCTCTGACGTTCATTTCAGTCATTGTGGGACTGTGCAGTGCAGCCTTTGTGTGGCGGCCAGCGGGCGCTGAATCTGTTAGCGCCAGTTAGTAGGGCGTTTCGATCGTACGATAACGGAGCGAACTGTTACGCTACGGTGACCTGCGTCAACCGTTCCACCATTGTTTTCTGCTCTGTGTATTTGCAGCAATGATACGATCTGAATGTTTGGTTTTAGGAAAGCTGATTGTTGTCATTTTGGTTCTGATTTTGTATTTACAGATCAGAAGGACTCGAAATCTCGGAAAAAGGCCATACAGGCGCAGCTCAAAACGGAGCACAGTCTTGCTCAAAGTACAAAGATCTGGAATCAAGATATTCTTCCGAACTGGGAAAAGGTAAAGTGATCTATCTCAGTCCCGTGCCCCCCCCCCCCCATCCCCCGGCATACGGGTTTCGAGAAAATTTGCATCACAGTTCCAAAAACATCGTAAATGCACAATGCACATGCTACTCATATTGCTTTGAAGTCATCTTCACCATTTTCCGGCGGAACATTTCTACTTGTTCGCTTTCACTGTTGTCTCCGATTTGGCCGTTCACATGAAAACCTGCCTGTCATCTATGTAGCTTTTTTCCCCGTGTCCTTGGTAGCGCTCGAGCTCTCAGCATTACAGCGAAAGCCGCAGTCTGCATTATTGTGTGTGAATTCCACCTTGGACGATGTTCATGCTGTGAGCAGCCCGTGACTAGCTGAAGACGCTCTTGAATTCCAATCTCGATTCAATCATTTTAAGTCCGAACTTAACTCCACCTCCGGATTCCCGTCACCGGTTCTGTAAATCACCCTCATTTGTAAATCACTCATTTATAAATCATTCTGTAAATCACACCCCAAAGTACTCCGTTCGAACTCTTCTGACCGTCTTTTCCACGCTTCCTCTCCATACCTTCAGGTGCGTCACACGAGGAAAGTATCCGACCTCTGGTGGAACGGCCTGCCGCCTAGTGTGCGCGGACGTGTCTGGATGCTGGCGCTCGGCAATGATCTGCATGTGACGCCGCAGCTGTACAAGGTCTACCACCAGGAGTGAGTATCTGAGGAGGGGGAGGGGATTGAGTAAGGCCTCAGCAAAGGGTGAGGAAGGCTTGTCAAGGGTCGGGTTAGGGGGAGTGACAGCCGGTGGCGGTAGACGAGTGTTAACAGCCCGACGACATGCCACTCACGGTAAGTAAACACATTGCTCAATG